CCCAACAAAGAAAAAGTCTCTTTCTTTCTTTTATCTGTCTCTCCTTGGCTTCGAATCTACACCCAACCATAAACTTACCTACGAGAGCCAATGACAGTGGTGGTTGCATATGGGAATGCGTGGCAACGGTGCTTGCCGACGGGAACGAGTCATGCCTGTGGCTGCCAACAAGAGCGAGGGGCGGTGGCTGTGTCTGCCAATGAGAGTGAGTGCTAGAGTGCCTGCCCACGAGACCGAATGATGGTTTGGCATGGGTATAGGGTAAGTTTCTTATCTCTTCTTGCTTTTGATTCTTAGTTTTTAATATTTTAGTTCATCTCAGTTTGTCGCTTTTGTTCATGGCTTTTGAGTTTTGATGGTAACAGAATGAATGGAAATTCATTTCCAACGGTCAGATTCCGACACGGCTGCGTTTTGGCTCAAGAGAAAGAACCCAAGTGGAACGCCACCGTTTGGCTTGCATCAGGAGAATACCACGCTTTGGAACGCCACCGTTTTCGACTTTCCTCTTTCACTTGTAGCTTTCTTTTACCTCAAGTTTGTTTTGTTTCCGTTCCAAGCTCCCAAACAAACGCCATTATTGCCTATCTTCTTGTTGTTTTGCTCGGCCTATGAAGGCCAGAAATTGTAATGAAATCACCAAGTTTTAGGGTTCCATCTTCTCTTCAACTTCGTTATTATGGTATCAGAGCCTAAGATAGAACCCTAGCCGCCGTTTCCTCCTTTTCCATGGCTGACAATCAAGTCGCTGCACAACCACATGCAGAGCACCAAAACCCTAGCCGTAGTGGTTTGAATGACAACTATGCTGGTGTCAGAGCACAAGTGCTATTTGGAGATGAGTTACCTACCATAAACAGGGTCTTTCAACGAATGTTACAACATAAAAGACAGATTTATGGAACTCAAACTGGGAAGATGGTTGCATCCATCGAAGCAGACTCTACTGCTCTTGGTTTTCAAGGTGGTAATAGAAGGCCTTCACCAAACACTAAACCACCTTACTGTTCCTTTTGTCGACGAGAGGGCCACACTGAGGACATCTGTTTCCAGAAGCATGGATGGCCACCTGGAATGTCCAAACCTCTAGCTTCTACTTCAGGTCCAGTTATGACTTGCAATCACTGCAAAAGAAGAGGACATACAAAAGAGAAGTGTTTCCAAAAACATGGTTACCTGCAAACTTTGTGACCCCCAATGCCTCTTCAGCACATCCAAGACCATGACAGCAAGCTGCTCTAGTCACGACTTCAATTCCAACTGATGAAGTGAAACTCACCAGGTCTGACTATGACAAACTCATGATCCTGATGTCTTCCTCTAAGTCTCAACCATCTTTCTCAGCTGGTGCATATGTGACTCAAAAAGGTATAACTTCCTCCTTGAGTGCACCAGTAAAAATACTGAATGTTTTCTCTTCCAATCATCGAAAATGGATCATTGATACAGGAGCCTCTGACCACATCGTGTGCTCCTTAGACTACTTGCATAACCCTCAACCTTTGTCCAATGTTTTCATTACCCTTCCCGTTGGTGCACAAATCCAAGCTACAAATTCTGGCACTGCCATCTGCAGTGATGACTTATATTTATATGATGCTTTGTTTGTTCCCAATTTTACCTTCAATCTTGTTTCAGTAAGCAGATTGACTTCTAAGAACTCATTATGCTTAACTTTCCATTCAACCACTTGTCTTATACAGGATCTGAAGCAGACAAGAGTTATTGGTTCTGCTAAACTTTGCAATGGCCTTTATTATCTTGAAGCCTCCCTTTCCCTAAGTTGATCTCAGCTGCATCCACCTCCACCTTTGATCTATGGCATTTTCGATTAGAGCATGCCTCTCATTTTAAAATACCCATACTCAACCAGTTTTGTACCTCCATCACCACCCAGAAAGATCAACCATGTGATGTCTTCCATTTTGCTAAGCAGAAAAGGCTCCCCTTTCCAACTACTCATTCTGTAACTTCTTCTCCTTTTGAACTACTCCATGTAGACATCTGGGGTCCAAACTCTGTCCCAACATGTGATGGCTTCAAGTATTTTTTAACTGCGGTTCATGACTTTTCTCGAATGACCTGGATTATTCTATTACAATTGAAATCAGAAGCAAGGCCTAAGCTCATTGCTTTCTGTAACCAAATGGAAAGACAATTGCAAACAAAAATCAAAGTCATAAGGAGTGATCAGGGTAGGGAATTTCTAATGGATGATTTCTTCCACACAATTGGCATAATTCATGAAATGTCCTATGGGGAAACACCCCAACAAAATAGCAAAGTTGAAAGGAAGCATCAGCACATACTTGTTGTTGCTCGTGTCCTTCAATTTCAAGCCTCCCTTCCTCCTTCTTTCTGGGGAGACTGTGTTAAAAACTTTGTCTACCTCATCAACCGTGTTCCAACTCATGTTCTATCTAGCCAAACTCCTTTCCAAGTCCTCCACCAAAAAAAAAAACCAGACTTAAACAACCTGAGAGTCTTTGGCTGCCTCTCTTATGCCAGCACCCTTGCAAACCACAAAACAAAATTCCAACCAAGAGCAAGAAAAAACAATATTCATTGGCTTTGCTCATGGGATGAAGGGTTACAGACTATATGACATCTCATCTCATGAGGTTTTTATCTCAAGAGATATTGTCTTTTATGAATCATATTTCCCAATCAAAGATTCCTCACCAGATACCACTTCTTCTCCACATCCAGACTTCCTTTTCCCAGTCCCAACATCAACACCTCCACTTCTACAGGATGATTCTCCTTCACCACCTTCCCCACCAACAACACCAGAGCCTATACCTTTCTCTACTCCACCAGTCCTTGACCAAGTTCCAAATCCTCCAGCCCCACCTCCACCCAATCCATCACAACCTACATCACCAAACAGATCACAACCCCCATCTCCACCTGCTATGCCAGCAGTGAGACGTTCAGATAGACAATCAAAACCACCCAAACATCTGGTCCAAAATTACCATTGTTTCTTGTCTCAGGGTCCAAGCAGAACCAGTCACTCAACTCTGCAATAGAACCAAGACTCCAGGTATTCCTTCTCTTCTTTCTTGTCTTATGACAAACTTTCACCACCTCATAAAACCTTTCTTCTCAACAAATCAAGTCATCATGAACCCCAAGCATATCAAGAGGCTTCCAAACATGAAGTCTGGAACAATGCCATGAAGGTTGAATTTCAGGCTCTCTTGAAAAATCATACCTGGGATGTGGTCAGTTTAACTGAAGGAAAGAAGCCTATCAGCAACAAGTGGACTACAAAGATAAATTCCTCTCTGATGGGTCTCTGGAAAGGCACAAGGCCAGACTTATTGCCAAGGGAAACACTCAGCAGGAAGGTATTGATTACCATGATACCTTTGCACCTGTCATAAAAATGACATCAGTTAGAACCTTTCTTGCCATTGCAGCAAAGAGAAACTGGCATGTTCACCAACTAGATGTGAACAATGCCTTTCTACATGGAGATTTAGAAGAAGAGGTCTACATGAACCTGCCAAAAGGCTACACTCCTCCTGCTGGTATTCCAAACCCAGTATGCAAACTCAAAAATTCTTTGTATGGCTTAAAACAAGCATCAAAACAGTGGTTCTCCAAGTTAACACACAAGTTAGTTCAAGTTGGTTACAAACAAAGTCAGGCAGATCATTCTCTATTCTTCAAACTGACAGAAACCTCCTACACTTGCATACTGATCTATGTGGATGATCTAGTTCTGGGGGGCAATGATATTGCAGATATCCAATCCTTAAAAGACATTTTGCACAACAAGTTCAGCATAATAGACATGGGCAACTGAAGTTTTTCTTAGGGATTGAGGTAGCACGCAGCAATTCTGGCATTCACATCAGTCAAAGGAAATATACACTATAAATACTTGAAGAAGAAAATGTTCTGGATACAAAGACAGTGACCACACCTATGGACTACAAGCTTCATCTCAACAATGCTAATGACCAACCATTCGATGACCCAGAGCTCTATCGAACCCTTGTTGGTAAACTTATCTACCTCACCACCTCACGTCCTGACATCAGTTTTGCTACACAGCAAGTGAGTCAGTTCATGTCTTCCCCATCTATCACACACTACAAGGCGGTTCTGAGAGTCCTGCGTTATCTGAAATATGCACCAGCTACAGGTCTTTTCTTCCCATCAAAAGGGACATTCCAACTGAAGTCCTTTGCTGACTCAGATTGCGCAGCGTGTGTCGACACACGAAGATCCACAACTGGTTTCTGTATTTACCTTGGTGACTCTTTAATCTCATGGAAAAGCAAAAAGCAGAGAACTGTATCAAGATCCTCTTATGAGGCAAAATATAGAACACTCGCACAGACAGTTTATGAAATACAATGGTTACAATACCTTATGGCAGACTTCCAAGCATCTTCATCAGCTCCATCAACTCTGTATTTGCGACAATCAGAGTGCAATTCATATAGTCAAGAACCCCACATTCCACGAGAGGATGAAACCCATAGAACTCGACTGTCATTTTGTTGGAGAAAAGATACAATATGGCAATCTCAAGCTTCATCTCATCTCCTCGGCTCATCAATTCGCAGATTTGTTCACAAAGCCACTCTCCCCAGCTCCATTTCTCTCCCTGCTCTCCAAGCTTGGTGTGCGCAATCTCTGGCCACTAGCTTGAGCGCGCGCCCGGGGGGGGGGGGGGGGGGGGGGGGGGGGGGGGGGGGGGTAACAGAACGAATGGAAATTCATTTACAACGGTCAGATTCCGACACGGCTGCGTTTTGGCTCAAGAGAAAGAACCAAAGTGGAACGCCACCGTTTGGCTTGCATCAGGAGAAGACCACGCTTTCGAATGCCATCGTTTTCAACTTTCCTCTTTTAGTTGTAGCTTTCTTTTACCTCAAGTTTGTTTTGTTTCCGTTCCAAGCTTCCAAACAAACACCATTGTTGCTTGTCTTCTTGCTGTTTTGCTCGGCCTATAAAGGCCAGAGATTGTACTGAAATCGCCAAGTTTTAGGGTTCCATCTTCTCTTCAAATTCGTTATTAGATGGTTTTGTTCATCTTTTCTCATTCTTTACATATAGGAGTTAGTGGGGAGAGACATGATGGAAGATGGAGACACACATTAATATTTTTCTAAGAATTGGTTTCCCTTTTAATTTTCGTTGCATTTGCTTTCTTGGATTATCCTCCATGGTCTTCAATTGGTTCATCATTTTTTTCATTTTGTTCCCATCGGAGTTCCCGAGGGAGAGTCGTAATGAAAGCCGGTGGAGGCAGATGGCGGCGGAAGAAAGTGAATCAAAAGAAAAGCAAAAGGCGGGAGCAGTTCTTAGAAGGCAGAGTAGGCAAGTGATGGTTTGGCAGAGGAGAAAGAAGGCAAGGACAGGTTAGGTCTTTCAACTTTTGAGCATTATTTTTCAATTTAACTGTGTGTATGTATAGATACATGTTTGGTAGAATTCATGTTCATGAATTTTCTGCCTTTCCATCAAATCTGTTGGTTGCAGTTTATGCAGATGGAGAAGGCAAACAAGAAGCCAGAAAAAAGGGAGAAGATGTAACGAAACTAGCCTGGGTTTTGTGCTTCTCACTCTTTCTCTTAACCGACCGGTTAAAAAGGAAAGAGGAAGAGTCGATTTGGGTTTGTTTACCTCTTTTGTACTTTTTACTTTTCGGTATTTCCCATTTAATAGCCATTCCTGATTCAAATTGATTACCTCTTTCCATTTCAGATGTGTCCCTCTTTTGCAACCTTGCTCTTTTGAAATTGAACGGAGAAGAAGAATGTCGCGGCTGGAAGTCAGTGCACGTCAGAAGCCTCATCCTTGGAACAAAGGTCCATCACCATAACAAGAAGAAAAATGGAATAGAACAAACAAGAAACCATATCCTCCAAATCAATTTCTTTACCTTTTCTCCCAACCCCGCGTGTACCTAAACCACATAGGACTCGGCTGTCCGAGTATCTCGCGTCCACCGCGCTCATTTCTCAGCCCATGCCTTTCTTCTTCCTACCCAATCCAATATTAGACATGGACCAAAACACTAACACGATCATGATTGAGGTGAGAGAGAGCTCATCAATATATAATCTTCTTCTCCTACTCTAAGAATAATGACCACCGACAATTGCCACACACGAATCCCACTATCTTCTCCATTTTACCATTTTTATTCATAAGCAATAAATTGACTTTCTTCTCCGGGAACGGGTGCAGTAGCAATAAATGCGAGAATATTTACTTCCATAATCTCATCGTTTTGTTTTTCTTTAACTGAAGGTTGTATGCCAGTCATTTCAGATTAACTAAACTCAACGAAGATACATAAGTACTCTTTACGAAGTAAACAAAAAAAATCAGCAGTTCCAGTAAATGAAGCAGATAGAGCTAAAGTTGATGTTTGGTGAGATCAATTATGCTTTCTTCGACGGCTCGGTGGACATTTATGAACTAGGTAAGCCCCAACGCGACCTCTCTTAAGCTTTTGCTAACACCTTAAGAAGGCAGCACTTCCAGTTTTCGTCATTGTAATTCTTTACGTTGTCCTCTTACCATATTGTAATTATTTGAAGTAGTTGTTAACTTTGGATTGCTCTGTTTATTTACAGGTCAATGAGGTTATTAGGAAGCCTTCGTTCGACAAAGTCCAGCTTCTTAATCAATTATTTGACAGCAATGGTGGGTTGGATGATTGACTTCATTCCAAACCTACCGAGCTTTGCAATTTATAACTCAAATGCTTTCAAATTATTTGAGTTTCTATGTTGGTATTTTGGTTATCCGTATAGCTCTAATGATATAATTAGTTTTTTTATATATTTACACCGTACATCTATAAGTATAACTGTATTTTTCATTCACCGCGAAGCGCAAGCGAGCGGGTCCTTGCTAGTATCACATAAATGAACTACCAATGCAATTGATTCGGTTAATGTGCTTCAACCATTTGTACAAGGTAAAAAATGCAGAAATCACGATGTATGAAGGAAAAGGAAGAATTCTGCGACCAACAGTCATACTTTGCTTCTCAGTCATGCAACGGCCACCAACAATATGATGCAGCACCACACAAAAACTATTGACCCAAACTTTGTGAAGCGAAGAGGAAAAAGGTTTGATCAACTTACTCTCACCAAAGTGATCATTATCACTGGATTCGGTAGGAACCATCAAGCAAGCAGACAAAGAAAGGGAAGAATTGGGAGCTCCCTTCAGTCCAAAACCAGAGCAAGAGGGGTTTGTCTGAGAAACCCTGTGTTTTAGGCTGAAAGGAGCCCTCATTTCTGCACATTTCTTCTTCACAGAACAGCAGTATAAGCAAGACAAGCAGTTGATCACAAAACAAATGAAATAGGAATGGCAGAAAGGTGTGGAGGCGTGGGGAGGGCTAAGTTGGTGGGGGTCATTAAAGGGTTTGAGGTAAGAGACACGCCTAAATATTCCCTCTGTGAGTACCATAATTCAACTGTGATGAAAGAAAAGGGGTCTTACCCATTCCAGGAAAGTGAATTTGACATCCATCCAACTCCCGCATAAAAATCAGTCAGTTTGAAAATGGAATTACGTGGCTGCAAGCTTCAGAGCTTTCCTACTCACCATTTTGAGTCAATTTTAGTGACTTTTTTGTTGGTTGTGTATTCTTTGCTCCAACCCCACTGGGAATTGCTTAAAAAAGAACATGATCAGTTTCAGCTCTAGGTGTCATCACTCAGTCAGTCAGTTCTCTGGTTTAGGCACTATGAACTTGCGAAATGAAATTTACACGAATGAGATGGGTTCCCAAGGATGTTATGACAAAAGAGGACTTATCTCACAATTAAACAAGAAGATAACCTATCCATTAGAAAGATTAAATCAGATAGCCAAGGACAGATGCGTATACAATATGATTCAACTGGAAGAGGCAGTTTCATGAATGGACCTTCTATAAGGAATACGCTGTTCGGGGACACCTTCTTCTGAGCGTTTATCTTCAAACCATTTCACCACTCTTTTGCGAGGCAAGTTGGTCACATGCACAATGCTGCCGATCATGGTATTCTGCAAAGTTTAGGCAGCACAAAGGAAATAAGACTACTATAACAAATTCTCTTTTGCATTCAGTTCCATGATCCGCGTGCAATGCATCAAATTAAACACATCAATTATGATTGAATGGTAAGAGGAAGAGCATTATTATGCAGATGCAGCAAACTTTACTCACAGTAGGTCTCTTGGTTCTTCTGTACACTCTCTCGAGGGTTTGAACATGAACTTTCTTCAGTCTCTTCTGAGCATTCCATTTCTGATACATAACGTGAACTGGCAAATTCACCTTGCTCTCATCTTTCACGGCATCTTCGTCAACAGTCATTTCCTCAGTTGCAGATTCTATTGGTGTAGTTGCTTGGACCGGCAGAGTTGGTTCAGGTTCATCGGGTAAAGCAGCACTCAACATCACAAGACTTGGAGGGGGATCACGAAGCAAGTCAAGAACTACACCCCTCTCAAGGCAAAGATCACCTGCCAAGTTCTTAATCTACAGCCAAAGACAAAATCCATCAAAACCTCAGAACATGGAGACTACTCTACAAAAATATAGTGTAATCAAGAGAAAACAGGACGCCTCACTCACACTAATTTTGCGACGGCCATTCTTTAAAGCAGAGGCCAATCTTCGAATTTGCCAATTCCTAAGCTTCAATGGCCTTCCCTCCTCACCCTCTTCTTCCTCACGAGGAAAACTCCCATCAGTTTCCATGTCATAAGCTTCATCCTCACCACCATCAGCACCAAGGGCCTCTTCTAGCTCAAGCTGAAGCTTCTCGATATCTTCTTCGCTCATATCATCATAATCATCCTCGTCAACTGCAGATGACTCGCTGTTCTTCAAGTCTCCTTCCAGCATGTTGAAGAGTGCATCAAAAGCATCTTCGTCTATGTCATCTCCCTCCTCCTCGTCATCAATTTCAGCAGGCAGACTTTTGTTCTATCCAAACAAAGACAACCCAGGATAGCATAGAGTATAAGCATAAGAGCTAATTTGAACAGTTTCTGAATGCATCAACAACAAAAGAAGTCCAACAGTTAATGTTCAATCAATCAGGCCATTGTGGACTTTAAACAAACAGTTGGTGTTCATTCAAAGTATACGACTCTACCAGCTGTCCAGTCACCTTCTTTTTCTTGGACGAGGATGCAACGGAAGAGTTCTGACTCCGCCGGCGAGAGAATGCGACTGAAGAGGTAGCGAGAGGCGAGTACGGGGGAAGCAGATTGAGCGGTGGTGGCATGTACCGTCCACGGATGAAGATTCGGTCGTTCTGCAAAGAGAAGCTCCGAAGAGACGAGCAAGTGTTGAAAGCAGAGAGAGCGGAAGCCATTTCCTCACTCTCTGAATCCTCCAAAAACAAGGATTTTGGGGGAAATTTTTTTTATCTCCGACGAGTAATGTTTAGATTCGTAAAGCCGGCAGCTTTCTCTCACCGTCACCGGAAGAGTTAATATTATCTGATATCCAAACGGTTATAGGTATAATATGCCTTTCTACTATGAAGTTTTATCAAACATGCCATCTACTATTTTTTACATCAAATATGCATCTGTACTTTGAAAAAATTATCAAACATGTCATTCTGTTAAAAATTTCATTGAAAAAATCGTCAATCATGGTTGAATTGAGATTTAGACGACCCGACATCGACAAATGGGAGGGAAAATGTCAGTTTTGTCCCCTGTTTTATTTCCTTTGGTCTTTTCAAAGTGAAATTATTTGAATGATTTGATTATACAAAAGAACCAAAAAGATTCTAAAGTGTATTTATTAGGGATATTTTAGTCATTTGTGTCGCCCAAACTAAAGTTCGATGTTGGTTAACGATTTTTGGATTAAAATTTTAAAAAAAGGGCATGTTTGATCATTTTTACAAAGTACAGGGGCATGTTTGATGTAAAAAATAGTATAGGGGCATGTTTGGTAAAATATCATAGTAGAGGGGCATATTATACCTATAACCCATATCCAAAATATATAAACTAATATCTAAGTACTAAAATATCTAGAGAGCACAAACTATTATTCAAAGTTTGCTAACTGATATCCACCATGAATCAACTATTATCCCAAATTCACAAACTAATATCTAGACAACACAAAATAGTATCCAAACATCACATAATTAGTATCCATATAACACATAAGAGTATCCATATTGAATACTAGTTGATTGATTGTGGATATTAGTTGGTATCTACTGTCTGGATACTAGTTTGTGATGTTTTGAATACTAGTCTGTGTTATCTAGATACTTAGTAGACTTGGATATTAGTTCATACATTTTGGATATTAGTTAGTATATACTCACGACTTTTCAAGTTAGCATAATAACAAGGTTGTTCTCTCGCGGCGGAGGAAAGAGAAGAGACACTGTCGTTCTCTCCTCCACCGCAACGCTGCTTTTCAACTGAAAATGACAGCTGGCAAGTGGTCATTTTATGATGCTCACGTGAACACTAGATCAGAACCCTTTCTCCCTTTCCCTATTCCTTTTTTCTGCAACCAATTGCCCAGGTCAGGTCGTCGATTTAATTTTATCAGTTGACAATGGCGGTACCGGCAGCGTCAAGGAGAGCAGCTGCGTCGTCTCCAGTGGTCGTGCCAGCGTCATCGAAAGGATGGGTGAAGAATCTTCCAGCAATAGCCTCTCGAATCTATTTCTTCCTTATCATTCTTCAGGTCCCTCTCTTTAGGTAAAATTCCCCTTTTCCCTTCGCTTTCCCTCAATTTCTAATCGTTTCTCTAGGGTTTTGAAATCTATTCGAATTCCTCACACTGGATGCTACTGTGCTCTAACTTAATTTACCGAGTACGGAGAGGAATTCTTCCTGCGACTGTTGTAATTGAATCGGGGTTTCCATTGCAGGGTGCCATGCCGATCCGAGATGTTTAAATCACCAATTCACGTGACGTCTTCCCAACTCATTTCTAGCGATATCTTTCCCGTTCCAGTTGTGAAAGCCCTCCTCTATCCTGGCGCTGTGGTGAATGATCTTGTAACAAAGAGGACAGTTCCATCTTGGGATGGCTTACTTGATATGTATAACTTGACAACGGTGAAGGATGCCTCTCCGGTTACGGATCTCCGGTGCTTGGAGGTTTGTCTCTTTGAACATTATCTCACTCTTCATTAGTGTAGATGATGAACCTCTGAGATAGTAAAGAATCTATGTAGTCGATTAGACAAGATGGTTGCTCTGTGCTTTTAGTTGGGTCAGTGGCTAAAATGGTTGCCTCGTGCTTTCAGTTGGGTGGGTGGGTGGGTTTGTTGTTTATGTTTGATCGCTGAACTGCTTAGGGTGTCAATTTTCAGAAGATTGCTCTTTAGCAGTTTTTGAATCTTTTGCTTTACAGAAAGTGCATGTTCTACCACAGTCGTAGCTTTTTACTAATATGACTCAACTGAAATTAAAATGCAGACATAGATTTTTTGTCAATTTATTAACTGTAAGTTTGGTTGGCCCGGTAATGGAGCTGAAATGTTACTCTTCTCCCTAGTAACTGAAACTGATTTTGCTACCATCCCTGCTTCCTCCCCTTTCTTTCTATGATCTCTTTTTTATTGTGAGGTCATAGAAACTAAATTCTACACCCTAGTCTTTTCTTATGAAAACAACTATAAAAATAAGCACCTAATGCAACTGAAGTTTTCTCCTAAAGCCCCTTCATCTGGCCAAGAATTTCCAAATGTAGATCCTATTTTTAATTTGCAATTGTGGTAGTTATTCTCTCTAGGCACCATATGAGCAAAAGTATGATAATAGTTATGTATCTTTCAATAGAATCAGCTATAGCTTGAAAAAGTTATAGAAACCTATTTCTAGGGTTCTATTGATAGTGTTGGTAGATTGGGAATTTGGGGATTTGGGAATATAATTGGGGATTGAGATTGAGGATTTGGGGAAGAAGAAGAAAGAATAAGAATCAGCCGAAACCTTGGATTAGGGAAGAAGAGAAATTAGGAGATAGAGAGAGCTTAGGGTTTGGAAAGATAATTCTTCTATTGATTTCTCCTTCCTCGAACAAAGGACCCAAAGTACATATTTAATAACCTAATGGACTATCCTAATATGACTTAAAGACTACTAACTATATCTAATTATATATTAATAAATACTACTAATGGTAATTATGATATAACCCAAAAATTAGGTTTCTATCATCCCCTCTCCCTTGACACCAACCTTGCCCTCAAGGTAGACCAATTGGACCCACTTCTCCTCCTTTTTGGCAAAACCTCCGCGACGACCACTCCTTTCCTTGCGCTCCTTTTTCCAATTTGGCTTCATTTCTTCACTGGGACTTCCACTGGAGATGATCTTCCTTGGGCTTAGTTTACCAATTTGCTCAATTTCCTCCCCAAATGCCTTTGGGCTATGCTTTCTTATGAGCCCACTTGAAAAACCAACAGAATTGCATTTCCATGTCATTGGGCCCCTTTTATAACAAAGAGATCCGCCTAGTCTACACAATTGGGCTGCAAGTCCCTCCTGAAAATGTGGCCCATTTCCTTCTTGATCAAGTAAGCCCACCTGCACTTTCTCAGGCCCAAGATTTGGCTTATGCAGGATAGAGACCGATCCATCGGAAGCCCAAACCTCCTTTTTCAGTTGGCAACCCCACTGGTTTGATCGACCCAACTAGTTATCTAGGCCCCCTTATTCTTTCTCCTAGTACTGGGCTGCGCTCCTTTACCCATCAGAAGGCCTAGGGTTTGTGTGACGCAGGGATGCGCTGCTCTCCACCCTTAGGATCCTTCTTCGACTTCCTTGGCGGCGACGAGCTCTTCCATCAGAAAGTCCACCTGGCCTCCAACGACGACTCCGACATCGCCTCCTATCGGCCACCGCCCTGCTCATCCACTACTCCGACTTCCTACCCGGCACCGCTACTGAGGATACGTCCGGTGGTCGCGACGATCTTGGTGTGAATTCCGTCCCCGGAAAACCCACTCGATGTTGCTGCCACTCCCCGACCCGAGTCAATGACCTAGTGCTTGCAAACAGAGGGGCACCACCCTCCTTCTTCTCCTCATTCGTCGGTGACCCAATTCCCCGGTGGAAAGTTCGGCCTACTCCCCGCGTCATCTCCGCCATCGCATCCTTCCCAATCGACGCCGCAATGGTAGTCGTCGTCAATCGGACGACCTGAGGAGCAGCGCTGGTCTCTTGCTCCGCTTTCTGTTCCGTCGTAGAATCCTTCAACTTCCTCGGCGGCTTCCTCTTTGAATCTCCTCCCGACGACTCCTTCCTCCGTTAGTCACTTAGTGAGCGGCGCTCAAGTCAATAAGAAGTCTACTCCGGCCAAGCTCCCGATCGAAGCTCATCTGCCTTTCTATCCTGGATTTTGCTCTGCTGCTTCTTGCCATCACCTCATATAGCGCGCTGTCAGTAGGTGTCGCTCGTGGTAGAGCTGGCTTGCACCTCCCTCCTGGAGTTTTTCTCGGCCGCGACTCCTCCCTTTCGGTCAACAACGCGATAGGACTCGCCGGTTTCCGCTTCATTTCCTTGGCGGTCGTCAAACTCATCTCCTGTCCTTCGATTCTTCTTCCTAAATTTCTAGTTGACTCTACCATTCTTCACCAGCAAATCTCCCCTTGGTGTTCCGGGATCTCCGAAATTCACATGTGGCAATTTTAGACTGGATTCATTCTCTTCCGCGTACGACCTTTCCACCTCTACTGACCGAGTTTTGGTCTTTAAAGCTGCAACAGTGGTGGTTGGCGGTGCTGGTGCTGGTAAGGCGATGTGGTCAGATGTCGGGGTCGGCATCGGGGATAGATGTTGTTCGGTGGTGGTGACGGATGTGGCCGCCGTCTGTGATATAGGCAGCCCTACGAAGGTCATCAAAAAATGTTGTAGGTTACCGGTGCTGCCTTGTTACGAGTGCCCTTGTCATGGCGGGGCTCTCCCTCGAGCCTTCTTCTTTATTCGTCGCACGTGGATCCACTACCTTGGATGATTGTTCAACAGCTGCTAGCAGTGTTGGTGGTGAACCCACAACAGTGGTGGTTGGTGTCTTGGTTCTCCCAGACGAGTTTAGGAGTCTTAAGACCTCCTCTGCCAACCGATGTCACTCTACTGACCGCAGTTCCTTTGTCTTTTTGATGTCCTCCAATACCTTGATTGCTTGCTTGCCGTGAGTTCCCAAGCGCCTTAGATCGATCTTCATCATCAGTGGAGCCCGGATAATGCTTGGAGAAGTGTCGATTGACGACCGGAAGCAGAACCCCATTCTTCACAACATGTTTTCTTCTTCTGAGCTAGAGTTTGCTTCTCTCTTGGGTATGAAGAACCCTAGACTTTTATGTTAGGTCTGATTGTATGAACCCGAGTTTGAACCCATTGACTTAATTATATTCAATTGAGGATTGATTTTATGAATGGCATGAATCCTGATCAAATTCCCGTTATTTCTGGTTTGACCTAGAAAGAGAATATCTGCCTAGGTTGATAGAGCACTCTTGATTGAAGGTAGTGAATTGACAACTTTAGTCGAGGAGTAAATTCACTTTTCTGTACCGGATGTACTTCGGTAGAGGAGGTTTGGTTCGTTAGGGCCTCAATCTGTTTACTCCGGTGGAGGTTAGTCGCCCGCTGGGGACTCAGATTGAGAGGGTCTGGAGACCTTTAGTTGAGACTGCAGACTGTTTAAGAACCTCTGGCAATATAACTATCTTTGAATTCGAACTTGGTAAATTGCAATCTGGCTTAACTGCAGTCTAGGGGGAACCATATCCGGGTGACCTCTCTCAACTTGAAAACAACCTCTTGCTGTTTAGCTTATTTGTTTACTGAGACCTTCACTACGTTTGAACCGCTAAATAATAAGGATTCACGGAGTAGTTAGCACACTTAGGAATCGGGTTGATATTAAAACCGAAACCCGCTATACTACGCTCTAGTAGGTGGTTTCACTTGGCCATTTTCTAGTGTGACAGTAGAGGCGTATCAAGTGCTCCTTCCCTAACCATTGCAAAACCATTACAGAGCTCTTCAAAATCAAAGCTGAAAGAAGGGTTTGGACCCACCTTGGAGCGAATTCAGAAGAAGCACAGATTGTTGTAACTGATTTTGCAACAATCACTCTTGTTGTAACTGATTTTGCAGTCTCTGCAATGGATATCGAAAGTTTCTGAAATGGATTGGATTTTCCATCCGTTTTTCTTTTGATGGTCTCCTTCTCATTCCTTATAGAAAATATTTCAAGTCACTTTTCGTTGGTGGGGAATGATAAATTTTGATTCATAGATGTCAAGAAGTTGACAGAAGTATCATATGTATCAACTTAGATGCAATCTTATCATATAATGCTAACGATCATCGTAAAAAGCAAATCCCTTGTACGAAGAACAAGTTCCCACTATACGTGACCATTCTATCCGCAAAAAGATGACCTTCCATCTCAAGAACACCTTTCATCCCAGCAGTTTCCCACATCGATTTAAACAACTCAAGAACTCTATCCAAATGCTTAACTCTTCTGAGAACCATCTGCTCCTTATCTGAAGTCAAAATCCTCTGACGGAACCAACTCTTATAATCATTCTCATACAACCCCCCACAAAGATCAACTTCAATGTCTCTCACTTGTCCATAGAGATAATACATCAGAAGTGCAAACAGGCAACGAGAGGAATGACCCAATGTACTGGAGAGCTTCTTCTGCACCAGGTTTTCCTAATGGCGAGCCTCCCGATAATCAATCCCGTTATCGATCAGCACATCCTTGATATGAGACAAGCCTCCTTTCATAACCTCTAGTTTGGAAATTTGATGAAGCGACTCCCTTTCGTGTCTCAAACACCCAACGAGATCATGCACCATCTCCAAGACGTCTTCCCACATCCAAGAATTGTTGCGATTGGTGGGCTTAGATGGTTAAACAACTGGAGATGATCTGATTCCCCATATTTCCTGATGAACAATCGTAGCCCAACCCGTCCATCTCCAACTTCAACGAGTTCGAAACCTCCTGAAGGGCGCCAGTCCATACTCGATGGTAGGTCACCTGTGGGCAAATTGTGACTCGCACCTCCTCCCACTGTTGAGATGATACCTTCAAAAATTTGCCAACTTTAGCTAGTGAGTCCCCAATCAGAGGCTCTGTCTCATTTGGATTGCCGAAATATGTAATCGAGTTGCTTCTTAAACCTCCTCCAGTTGCCACCATATTCTCATTGGTCTTCTGTTGGACCAATGGAGATCCAATGAAGACCCTGACCAGTGACTTCAAAGTGGTGGCCTTGTGCATAACCCTGGAGTTCATAACAAAGGAATTTTCGTTTATACTCACCACCCTTACATCGATCAAATCCACATTCCGCAGCTGGCTCGTCAATTTCTGAATTTTGGGGAAAGCTGTTGGAGTATATAGAGGAGAAATGCTAAAAACTTGAGACCGAGATTAAGTCAGCTGATTTCCCGTATCTCCTACTAATATCCAAGATTCACTTAAGGTGATCTCGTTTATCACCTAATTCTAATCAAAGTGGCTAGCAAGCCTCTAATAAAATCATAATGAAAAACATCTCAAACAAATCAAATCTTAACTACTAATGCTTTCTACGTAAGCAAAGCAACTAAAACTAAACTATTGGGCCTTCTCGTGCATGGGCATGAGCTAATTCAGCCACATTGGTCTCCATATGGACTATGAGTCCATCACTGATGCATCTTGATGGACATATAGCCCATGAAGTCCATGCACAAAAAAGCGGGCTCATATGTAGATGAAGAGAAGTCTAATAAGAGGACGTAGTTGTTGCTTATGTTGGTTAGGATTTGGATTTGATTGTTTCTTTTGTTGGATTTATTAGGTAGTTGTTAGGATCGCCGGGAAGATCGTAATGAGTGACGCGAGCATCCTGGGCAGCGTCACGAAGAGCAGCATCGTCCTCTGTTTCTTGCTCGCTACACCAAGTTGGAGTTTTCCAGGTACTCTGGTGCGGATCCGACTGAGTGGTTCACGAGGGTGTACCAGTTCTTTGATTACCAATATGTCCAAGAAGATCAGAAGGTCTCGTTGGCTACTTATCATCTAGTAGGTGAGGCCAACCAATGGTGGCGTTGGTTGAGAAAGTCCACATGACCGATGGCGTCGTCATCACTTGGGAGATCTTCGCCAGTGAACTTTGGACAAGGTTTGGTCCAGCTGATGAAGATGATGCGGATGAAGCCATCACACGTATCAAGCAAATCGGACTATTGCAGGATTACCAGCAGGAATTCGAGCGGCTCGGTAATAAGGTGGATGGTTGGACTCAGAAGTCCCTTGTTGGTACTTTCATCGGCGGTCTCAAACCCGAGAACTCTGAGACCTTGCGTCTATATCGACCCGACTTGCTCAAGGAAGCGATCCGCCTGGCGCGAATTCGTGAAGATCAAATCTCTCGTATCTAGCGGACGACATCTTTGGGAGAGCCGAAAGAGCTGCCGGGCAATCCCAATGCAAAAGAGAATCATCATGGAGGTTGCGAGATTCAGCGTGGCGACTGCCAATCTTGGTTGCCGCTATCCTGTTGAAATCCTCTCTTAGCTTGTTGGTTTCTCTTTTGAACTCTCGGAGAAGCTGCATGCTAGAGTCGCTAGTTCGATTATCCTACATATGTCCGTCTCTGACAGATTGAGCATGGCTATGATATCAAATGTTGGAACAATGGTTCCAATGTTACGATAGGTGTTTATTTCAGACTCAAACAAGGCGGGAACTGAGTTCCTTTTTCTCAATATCATTCTCTACCCTTTTTATTTCTTTCAATCCTCTTTAGATAGAGGAGAAATCCTAAAGCCGAGGCCTTGATCTCAGCCATTTGGAGAATCAAGCTAAGCTCTATCTCCCTACACCTAAAGAAGTGGTATATCTAATGGGAGCCGAGACTGATGGAGACACACTAGAGGATCTCGAGGATGAATCTGTTGAAATATCCTTTCATGCGATTAGTGGTCTTGCATCGGGACGTACTATGCGCCTGTGGGCTTTCGTGGGGTCCAATAGGGTGTTGGTATTAGTGGATAGTGGGTCAACCCAAAATTTCGTGGCAACAAAAGTAGCGGATCGACTTCAACTGTGCGCCACTTCCATCCGGAGTTTCGATGTGAAGATCGCCAATGACGAGCCCCTCGCATGCAAGTCTAGGCATGACAACGTCGGCCTCACCATGCAAGGATTATTATTTTCAGTTTCCCTATATGTTATCGACGTGGTGGGCATTGATGTTGTGTTGGGGACTCAATGGTTAGCTTCTCTAGGGAACATAATGTGCAACTGGTGGGAGCTTACTATATCTTTTGAATGGCAAGCAGCTCCACAAAAACTCATTGGACTCACTCCCTTCCTTCAATCCTCCAAGTCTTTGCGGAACCTTCTCAAAGGAAGCCATGCGAGTTGTGTGTATCTTTACTTCAATAGATGAGGCTCTCCACCAAGTTCCAGAGGCATTCCAAGACCTCGTTCGAGAATATGGCGACTTGTTTGACGAGCAAAATGCATTGCCGCCACCGCGATCCGTCAATCATCGCATACAGCTTAAAGAGGGCACCGATGCTATTAACGTTTGCCCCTATCGATACTCGCATTATCAACAAGAAGAAATCGAAGCTCAAGTTAATAAAATGCTTCAAGAAGGGTTGATTCATCCTAGTACGAGTCCTTTTTCATCACCGGTGCTACACGTAAAGAAAAAAGACGGCTCTTGGAGGTTTTGCACCGACTATCGAGCACTCAACAACGTTATAATTAAAGATTGTTTTCCAATTCCAACGGTCGAAGATATGCTCGACGAGCTCCATAGAGCCATGTATTTTACGAAGATTGACTTACGTGCTGGCTTCCATCAAGTGCGCATGCATGCATGTGACGTCCATAAAACAGCTTTCCGGAACCACAATGGATACTCCGAGTATCTCGTAATGCTGTTCGGACTTTGTAACGCGCCATCGACCTTCCAAGCACTAATGAATGACATCTTTCGGCCTCATCTCCGAAAATTTGTGCTAGTCTTCTTCAACGATATTCTCATCCATAACAAGGATTGAAACTCCCATATCAACCATCTACGCCAGGTATTTAACATCCTCAAGTAACAGAAGTTCTTTGTTAAATTTTCTAAATGTTCCTTTGGGGTACATGAGTTCTAATACATTGGCAACATCATCCCCACCAATGGAGTTAAGGTGGATTCTTCGAAGATTCAAGCAATGGTCGAGTGGCCACGTCCCGCCAACGTCATGGAGCTTCGGTGGTTTTTGGGCCTCAGAGCATATTGTAACACCTTAGGCAAATCGCACATCGACAAAGCACGGGAGAGATCCATGGTTCATAAGTAGGAAACTGGCCTTAACTGACAAGACGCGTTTTGGGGTGTAATGTAGGAGTTCTTGTGAGAACTCCGGAGTTAAACGTGCTCAGTGTGGAGTACAACAAGGATGGGTGACCTTAAGGGAAGTAACCTTGAATTGCAATCCAAGTCGAAAACCGTGAGGGTTGAGGCCCAAAGCAGACAATATCTTCATCAGGAAAAGGTTTGGGATCTTACCCATATCGTCGCATATCCAACGGAATATTTGGCGGGAGCTAAATCTTTGAGCCCAATATGCATGAGACTCTCATCACCATTCATGGCTCTTGGAGATGATTTAAAGCTGACCTTGAAGAGCCATCCATACCTACAACAAGCAGCTGCCAAAGCTAGAGCTTCTCCAACTAGCGCATTCACTATTAAAGGAGACATTGTTTAGTACAAGAATCGGGTTGTTATTCCTGCCAATTCTGATTTGATTCCGAATCTCTTGCGGGAATACCATGCAACACCGAAGGGAGGACACTCTGGAGTTCTTCGCACCCACAAGCGATTGGCGGAACGCTTCTATTGGCCGGGGATGCTAGAGTCTGTAAAAAGATTCGTCCTTCAGTGTGACATCTGCCAAAGAGCCAAGATCCAGTCATTTTTGCCGGCTGGACTGTTGCAGCCTCTTTCAATCCCCCAACAGATCTGGGAAGAGCTATCAATGGAATTCATCGAATGCCTCCCAACCTCTTCGGGAAAAACCATAATCATGGTACTGGTGGACCAGTTAAGCAAGGCTGCTCACTTTGTGGGTTTATCTCACCCATACACGGCTAGATCGCTTGCTGATTCCTTTACCAACAATGTGATCAAGCTTCACGACCCACCTCGATCCATCGTGAGTGACCGTGATCGAGTCTTTGTAGGCCAGCTCCGGAGGGAGCTGTTCCGTTTGTCGGAAACGACGTTACCCACGTTCTCATCTTACCATCCACAAACGGATGGTCAAACGGAGGTTGTGAATCGTTGTCTCAAACAGTATCTCAGGTTCTTCTCCCCGCTGGATGTCGTACTTGTCATGGGTTGAGTATTGGAACAATACCACGTACCATAGATCAATTGGAATGACTCCCTTTCAAGTTGTGTATGGGAGAATACCTCCCACAATTTCATTCTACTGACAAGGTTAGACGGCGGTTTATGAAGTGGACAAGCCACTCTCGGAGCGCAATGAGATGCCACAAGAGCTCAAGATCAACCTCCAAAATGCTCAAGTTCGCATGAAACAACAAGCCAATGCTGGATAGGGTGATGAAGCCTTCAACGTTGGCGACTATGTGTACTTCCGTCTCCACCCTTACCACCAACACTCTGTGTTTAGGCGAGCCTCACAAAAGCTAGCTTGCTGCTGCTTTCATGGGCCTTTCCTCGTGAGTGAACGAGTAGGACTGGTTGCTTACCGTCTGGGGCTGCCAGCCAGATCACGGGTTCATCCCTTACTTCATGTGTCCCTCCTCCGTCGCTGCACTACTCCGTAGACCCCTCTCAGCTTGGTTGTGCCACCCATTACGGAGGAGAACGGTTTGGAACTGTTTCCGAAGCTATTCTCAACACCCGCTGGACGAAACGGGGAACAAATTCATTAAGGAATCATTAGTTAATTGGCACGCTTTACCAGCAGAGGAAGCAACTTGGGAGCTCACTTCCCTGCTGTTCGAGAATTTGGGGACAACGGACCTGAGGGCATGAACATTCTCGCAGCGGGCGGTAATGATGGGCTTATTCATGCGACCCATGCAGAGGAGGAAATAAATGATGGACATGCTTTCCATGCGGCCCATGCGGAGGAAGGAAGTGCTGAACGTCAAGCGCATGAAGAAGTAGAACCACCCACGTGGCTAGAAGGTTGTTTAAGGGATCTCTGCGTTGGGTTGTTTAAGCAGGTTGGTGTACCTTCTGTTTGTTTTGATTTGTTTTGATTTATTAGGATACGATCTTGTGATTGTCTAGCTGATAGGATTAGTGTCTTTGGAAGATTGCCTTGGTGATTTACCAAATCGTAGGAGAGTCGGGAGTTGTTCTCTTGTGCCCCATCTCAAGTCTAGGTTAATAGTTCCATATATAAGGGTTGAATGAATAAGAAGCAGCAACATAAGTTTTTAGCCGGAAATCACACCAAAGTGGTCGGTTCTCACCGTAAAGAGAATGCCACCTCTAATAACCAAATTCCAACATTTGGTATCAGAGCCTTCTGCGACCGTGAGGTCTTCTGTTCGATTCTCGGTGACCCCCATCTGTTTCTGTTAAGCACACAGTGTCCAGACCTATGCCTGTCCAAACTACAAGCCTATCTTAATGGCTTGAGTTTGAAGGGGGTGTTAGTAAACGGTATATGATCCACGATTGAACCTCTCCCAACAACTCGAGTTATTAGGATCAACTGGTTCAACGATAGTGGGTTTGGGATCCATTGGCTCTGATAACAAATGTTGGAACTTGGTAATCAGTGGTGTGATCATGTTCTCCTTATGACGGGAATCAGCCAGTTTAGAAACTCTGTTTTCTTATTATAATCTATTGCTTCTTATTTAATTCAATACTCTTTATATAGAGGTGAAATCCTAAAAGTAAGATCAAGTTCACAAATGGTTGAGACCTGATCTCTACGATTTGGAGAATCAAGCAAGCTCTATCTCCCTACAACTAAACAACCGCCAAAAAGAAAGATCCTACAGCTACTAAATCATCAACAGAATATCAAAGCAAACAAATCCTCAAATCCTAACAACTACTCTTTCCTTCGTAAGCAGCAACAACTAATGAGCTCTCCCATGGTTTAACGACGTGTATGGTTCTCATGGGCTCCATGGTCCATATGTGGAGCATCCAGGACATCAGGGGAATGGAATGCTTGAGTTCGTCCATCATTATTAACTCCCCGTAGAAGATCAGACTTGTCCCTAAGTCCGTTGTCCTCATCAAAGCCGCTGCACAAGAATATCGTCGATCCTTTACAAAAATGACAAACTTTTCATCACAATTGAAACATAACCCAGCAACATGGCGACGATATTGTTCATTCCATGGAAAGCGTTTGGCAAGGGAAGGTCTGGGATTGGCCAGCAGCTCTTTCGGCTCTTCGAAAGAGGTAGTCCGCTGGCTACGAGAGATTTTATCTTCACGGATTTGTGTTAGGGGGATCGCTTCGTAGAGCAAGTTTGGTTAAAATAGACGCAAGGTCTCGGGGATCTCAGGTTTGAAACCACCATGAAAGCCCCAACAAGGGCCTTCTGAGTCCAACCATCCACCTTATTACCATTCCGCTCAAATTCCTGCTGGTAATCCCGCAATGATCTGATTTGCTTGATGCGTGTGAGGTCTTCATCTGCATTGTCTTCATCAGCTAGACCAAACCTTGTCTAAAGTTCATTGGCAAAAATCTTCCAAGTGATGACGACGCCATCGGTTATGTAGGACTTGCCAAACCAATGCCACCATTGGTCAGCTTCGCCTTCCAGATGATAAGCAGCCAACGGGACTTTCTGATCTTATTGGCCACCATTGTAGCGAACATGAAACAGAGGACGATGTTGCTCTTCTAGACGATGCATGCGTCACTCATCACGATCTTCACAACGATCATCACGGCTTCATCCCGTCTTTCTTCCGGTCAAAACTGGAGGCTTGGTCCGGCTGACGATCGATCGACATCGGTGGCAGGAGCCCGACGATGCTGAAGGAGATGGAGAATCTCATCCACGCTAGTTTGGGATGCAGCTGAGTTCGTCTCCAAAACCTTAAGTCTTCCTCCTAATTCAGCCACAGTCCCTTCCACCCGGCGAATATCTTCGTGGATGGTGGTTTGGACAGCAACTTGGAGGTTTTAAAGGCTAGCTTCAATGGAATCAATTATGTCCTCGTCAGCGGTAGTGGGTTTGGGAGCCAATGGCTCTGATACCAAATGTTGGAACTTGCGGCGGGAACCGGTCAGTTTAGAACCTTTGTTTTCTTATTATAATCTGTTGGTTCTTATTTCATTCAATCCTCTTTATATAGAGGAGAAATCCTAAAGGTAAGATCAAGTTCACAAGTGGTTGAGACTTTATCTCTACGATTTGGAGAATCAAGCAAGCTCTATCTCCCTACACCTAAACAACCGCCAAAAAGAAAGATCCTACAGCTACTAAATCTTCAACAGAATATCATAGCAAACAAATCCTCAAATCCTAACAACTACTCTTTCCTTCGTAAGAAGCAACAACTAATGAGCTCTCCCATGGGCCTTTCTTAGCCACGTGTATGGTTCACATTGGCTCGATGGGAAATACGTGGAGCATCCAGGACATTAGGGGAATGGAATGCTTGTGTTCTTCCATCATTAACTCCCCCAAGAAGATCGGACTTGTCCCTAAGTCTGTTGTCCTCATCAAAGCCGCTGCACAAGAATACCGTTGATCCTTTACAACAATGACCAGGCATAGGCATAAACTTTTTATCACAATTGAAACATAACCCAGCAGAACTGTGACGACATTGTTCATTCCATTCAAAGCGTTTGGCAAGGGAAGGTCTGGGATTTCCCAGCAGCTCTTTCGGCTCTCCGAAAGAGGTCGTTCGCTGGCTACAAGAGATTTTGTCTTCACGAATTCGCGCAAGGCGGATCGCTTCCTAGAGCGAGTTTGGTCGAAATAGATGCAAGGTATCGGGAATCTCAGGTTTGAAACCACCCATGAAAGCCCCAACAAAGGGCTTCTGAGTCCAACCATCCACCTTATTACCATTCTGCTCAAATTCCTGCTGGTAATCCCGCAATGATCCGATTTGCTTGATGCGTGTGAGGGCTTCATCCGCGTCGTCTTCATCAGCTAGACCAAAACTTGTCCAAATTTCACTAGCGAAGATCTTCCAAGTGATGACAATGCCATCGGTTATGTAGGACTTGCCAAACCAACATTACCATTGGTTGGCCTCGCCTTCCAGATGATAAAGAGCCAACGGGACCTTATGATCTTCTTGGACAAATTAGTAAACAAAGAACTAGTACACCCTCGTGAACCACTCAGTCAGATCCGCACCAGAGTATCTGGGAAACTCCAACTTGGTGTAGCGAGCAGGAAATAGAGGACGATGCTGCAGGATGCCCGCGTCGCTCATCACGATCTTCACGGCGATCATCACTGCTTCATCCCGTTTTTCTTCCGGTCAAAACTGGAGGCTTGATCCGGCCCATGATCGATCGGCATCGGTGACAGGAGCCCGACGATGCTGAAGGAGACGGAGAATCTCATCCACACTAGTTTGGGTCGCTGGTGAGTTCGTCTCCAAAACCTTAAGACTCCCTCCTAATTCAGCCAGAGTCCCTTCCACCCGACGAACATCTTCGTGGATGGTGGTTTGGACAGCAACTTGGAGGTTTTCAAGGCTAGCTTCGATGGAATCAATTATGTCCTTGTCAGCGGCAGTGGGTTTGGGAGCCATTGGCTCTGATACCAAATGTTGGAACTTGCGGCGGCAACCGACCTTTTTAGAACCTCTGTTTTCTTATTATAATCTGCTGGTTCTTATTTCATTCAATGCTCTTTATATAGAGGAGAAATCCTAAAGGTAAGATCAATTTCACAAGTTGTTGAGAATTGATCTCTACGATTTGGAGAATCAAGCAAGCTCTATCTCCCTACACCTAAACAACCGCCAATAAGAAAGATCCTACAACTAATAAATCATCAACAGAATATCAAAGCAAACAAATCCTCAAATCCTAACAACTACTCTTTCCTTCGTAAGCAGCGCCAACTAATGAGCTCTCCCATGGGCCTTTGTTGGCCACGTGTATGATTCTCATGGGCTCCATGGCCCATATGTGGAGCCTCCAGGACATCAGGGGAATGGAATGCTTGAGTTCATCCATCAAAAGCCTTCTCGTACCATTTGAAAGGCATGAATTCTGCTGAAGAATAATGATACAACCTCAAGTTGAAGCACACATCATCTCCGAGTCTACCCAGATCGGTAAGAGCTGCACAGGGGAAAAGCTTCCTCAAGTATCTAGTATTCTTGGGACTAACGATCACGTCCAGTATCCTGAGATTGGAGGTCGAGAAACTTTCATTCTGAACTTTTATCTAACAGGTAGCGGGCGTGATGAGTGTGGCTTAGAGGGCGCTAAGGAGATCGTTAGGTTGGGATTCGCTTCTGAAAAATGAGGAGATATCAATCGGGAATGGATTCAACAATAGAGGAGGATGACGATCGAGTGCTGAAAGGCCACACCGCAAGCCGGCTATGGCTTGGCTGCTGAGATATGCAAGAAGTCGTTAACTATGGAACTCCGGTATCTACTGGCTTGGTGGGTAACGTCGTAACAACGTGAAATCAAATGTGATTATGTGAACGAACGAACCAGAGTGGATGGGTGGGCCGAATCTTTGAAACGGTCGGTTTCACCGTTGGGCTTAACATTGTTGGGCTTGAACTAAAAGGGTAGAGTAAGCCTTGACTGGTCGGGGGCTACCTTTCCACATATTTTGCAATAAGTTTTGGGGCTTTTGCCTCTTGTCCTTTTGGCTTTTGTCAATGAATGAGAACAAAAGTGTAAGTATTGTATTGATGGGATACTATTTCTGTTGGAAGAAATTTTTGTTTTTTAATTAATACTTGTACTCTTTATTTTTTTGAAAACCTACTTGAAAAAAAGTTCAAGATGTTTATCGATCAAGAAAAGAGTTTAAAAATATGCTTACTAAAGTGAGATCTAATTCAATTATGATAGGTTGTTTGAGAGTTCTGCAACTAAACTACTCTACTTTGATGATCATTACTTTATAGAACGATGAAGGAAAGTTTTGAAACTATGTCTACAAATATTTATATGAAACTTGACAAAGGTTGTCAAATATTAGTTTTGAGAATAGTTCTTCTATCTTCATTTCTTCTACTTATAGCCAAAAAGTATAACGCGAGCCTGATGAGTGCTCCAACAGTCTAGTGATTCCTTCCTTTAGGCTCAACATCCATGGAGGCTCAGCCACCAGGCCCAAAAATCCAACTTCGTACTTCATTAATTCAATCTTAATGTTAAAGTAGGCTTTATGTCTTTATCAATTCACCAAATCCCTTGTATCGAATTGATTAATTCAATCTTAATGTTAGAGTAGGCATTGTGCCTTTATCAATTCACCAAATCCCTTGTATCGAATTAATGTAGTAAATGATTAATTATCAGTTGTAAATTAGGTACACACCTGAATTTAGTAAAATGTAAGCTATGATATATGGCATGATAAGTCATTGTATAGAGGTTCTTATGGCTATTCAATCCTTTTTTTTTTTTCAAACTAGACACATGTTTAAGGAAGTAAATTTACACTGCTAGTTTTCAGATTCCCTAATGTTGAGAATACGAAAAAGAAATTTAGCCACAACTCATGTTGCAAAGAGATATTTAATTGGTTAGGGTTATTGTTAACAGACTGACGTCTAGCTCAAATCGTTGCTCAGATAGCGGAGGAAAGCTTTGGCAGATTTTTTTTTTTTTTGTAAGAGATCATTTAATATGTGAGAATATCCTTATAGCTTCTCAGTTAACGAAATATTACAATATTTCATTAGTTTTACTTTCCTATGTGTTTCCTATGTGTATTACCACGATAAATCTTATACAAGTCTTTAATTTTGTGAATCTACTTAGTCGTTTTGTCTGGTGGACTAGACATATGGTATGACAAATACCCACTTGTTAGCATTAAGCTTTAACTCTGTGCTTCTGGGTGGCTTATAAGAACAATTAAAGCAAAGGAAAGAAACTAGTTTGGCAAATTCTGAAATTATCAGGGTACTTGTAAAAAGATAGGGGAAAAATAAAAGTTTTAAAGGGCTTAGAACATGCTTGGCTTGTTAAAAGCTTTATTTTTATAAAAGAGAGAATTTTTTACTTTTATAAAAGCGTTTACCCATAAAAAATTAGCTTGTACCATATCGATTAACTGCAAGAGACTTAATAGATTTATATGTCCAGCTCAACATTAATAATTAAAAAGAGCTAGCTGGGCTTTGTTGGGTTGGTTTTTTGGGCCTAAGTGGCCAAACCCCTTCTCCCTTATACGATGGTCGACCCGTATCCTTGGCCCCCATAATCGGGCGTTCCTCCAACCCTTGTTATGAAATTTGACTACCAAAAACTAAGTCTGGAAACAAGGCGGCACAACGGGGTGCCAAACGACCGGGTACCAATCCGAGTAATAAATAGGCGGTCATTCAGAAACTAAGTCTAGAAACAAGGCGACACAACATGGTGCAAAACGAACGGGTACCAAGCCGGGTACAAAATAGGGGGTCATTCAACGGGGTGCCAAACGATCGATTACCAAGCTGGGTACCAAATTGGAGGTCATCCAAAAACTAAGTCTGTAAACAAGGATGCACAACGGTGTGCCAAACGACTGGATACCAAATAAGGGGGTCAACGACGGGGTATTAATCCGACAAGGCAGGGCTTGGTATCATGACATGGAATTTGGCTAAATATCGAGCCAAAGGGGTATCAAGGCGACAAAGCAGGCTTGATACCAAAATATATGAAAATTGGCTAAGTATGAAGTCAACGGGGTACCAAGCCGACAAGACACACTTGGTAGCCAAGCAATAGGGTACCAGGCAGGCAAGACATCCTTGGTACTACTACATGTAATTTGGCTAAGTATGAAATCCCTTGGCAATAGGGGGCCAAACGATAAGGTACCAAGACGAAAGATGCTTGGTAGGCTGAGGGTACCAAGACGGCAAGGCAGGGCTTGGTACCAAGACATGAAAGATATGAAATAGACCAAGTTTGGAACCTTGAGGGTGGAGACTTTTCAGCCAAGTTACTGAGTTGATAGGGTATCAACTTGATGCAGAGTTGGTGCAAAGCCCCTTAGGGGGCTACATGGAGACTAAGTTCCAAGAATGGATTGGTGGCCCCCGTAACGGGGTACCAAGCCGGTAGGGTGCAAGGTACCAACTTGATAAGATTGCGGAAGCTGAGTATGGGATAACAAGCCGACAGGGCTGGCTTGGTATCAAAAGTATCAAACCGACAAGATTGGCTTGATATCAAGATGAAAAGTTGGTGCCATGACAATCTCTCTAAGACTGTGTGGAGATTTGGGGGGTAAAGGGGCCAAGTTCTCATCCTGTCTAGGTGGGTAATATGGCCTAGCTTTCAAGATGGTTTATCGAGGTGGCTAGCAAGGTGAGTAGTGTGGAGTTGTTGATTCGGGCCTATTAACACATGTTTTGCCCCCGGTTTGCTTAGATGTTTGTGCCAAATTCGCTCATTAAAGGTTGGTTTTAGGCAAGGTTCTTCGTGTTTGAGTGCTTTTCAGGATTTAACATGTGGAACCAGCCTCAGAGTTGAAAGATTGGCAAAAAGGATCGAAAATCGGGAGAAGAGGAGAAAACAAGGAGAGTTCACAGTCACTGAGACCGTGAACACAAGCAGTTGCCCGGGAACTGTCGTGATCGATGCAGTGCGTTTTGGTGCATGGCATGAGTTCACAGACGCGTTTGATGGTTCACGACCGTGAACTAAGCTCTTCTCGGGTTTAAAAGCTGAGCTGCAAGGAGGAAAGAGACGGAGATCCCACTTTTGGGAGAGAAACACCTTCTTCGGCATTTTAGTGAGAGAAACATAACCAAAAAGAAGAAGAGGTTAGGGTTTGGCTTCAAGGCTGATTTTGGGAAGATTTCCCCAAGGAGATCTCATCTCAAGGTTGAAGAAGAGAGGAGGCATCCCCAAAAGATTGTTTCCACCTTTTTCCCTTTTGTTCTTCCCACTTCTTCCATGGAGTAGTCCTCCTTTCACTTGGGTGTAGTGAAACCCTAACTCTACCATGTAGTTTTCTTGTATGTGGTTTGGATGATTGATATTGGGTATTGTTCAATTTAATGTTTGAGACATTATTCACCATGATTGTGAATGCTTGTGCTTAGAAACTTAGGGGTTGTGCATATTTTGTTCTTAGCATCCTAGGGATTGTGCATAATTATGCTTAGCACCCCTAAGTTTGTGCATTTAGGTTTTCCTTTCAAGGGAGACTCAATCGAGTTGATTTTCCTTCCTTTTTCTAAGCCACCTAAACTAGTTTGATTTAGGGTAACCCACAATATTGAATTGAACAAGTCGATTAATCGTGGTTCAACCGTCCCACCTTAGAATTGAGTGAGGGAGTAAGCCGATAACCGATTGTCTAAACCGAGAGGGTCGAGTGACACAGCCTTTCATCCTTGCCTCGGTTTAGCAACCGAGACTGTGGTATCTGACCACATACGCTTTCCTCTGTGGTTCACGATTAACGTGCCCAAGGCAATCGTTCCAACCCACGTAGCATGGTAGCGGTTAGGGGGAAGTGAAACCCAAGTGACTTTCCCACAAAAGAGTTTTCAAACCAAATTACCTTTGCTTTCTTTCATTTCATTTAGCAAACCTTTAAACTAAAGTTTTATCGCTAGATAATGATTTCAACAAGCGAAGTAGGGGTAGACAGACCGGGCCGGTTCGATATATAAATAATTTCCCTATACTGCACCCGATTAGAGTTTAAAAAGTTGGGCTCGAATTGGGGTGAAGTGTGGGGTAGTTTCGAGCTAGTCAAGTTTTTGGCGCCATTGCCGGGGAAAACGGTATGTTATTCTAAAAAAGTTATTGGTTGTTAATCTAACTTTTAATTTACAGTTTTGAAAGTTTGTGTTCTTTGCTTGTGCTAGACTTGGTGTTTTCCGATTGTGTGTAGGAGGTGCATGACCTAGAGCAACCCAGAGCCCTTGCTACAACTTGACGGGGACATAAACTGAACTTTCCGACTCCTAGCAAGGGAGAAAGAGCTAGCCGAGGCAAGGAGAAGGAGTGAAAGAGGGGGACAACAATTGGGTCCCGGTGTTAGTGGAGAAGTAGTTGAAGAAGTGGAAGTTGAACCCGTTATTGAAGAGGAAATGGCGGGGAACCGAAGGCAAGATGGAGCCGCAACCCTCCAAATGAACGAGGAGGCGGGAGAAGAAGGAGCCCCGAGGACGATGGGATACTATATGGCCCCAAGGCCAGCGGACATTCAATCGCCTATCCTACATCCTACAGTGGCGGCAAACAATTTCGAGATCAAGCCGGCTCTAGTGACTATGATACAAAGTAATGCTCTCTTCCACGGCCATGAAAGCAAGTCACCAAGAGAGCACATGCAGAGATTCTTGGAGCTCGCGGGGATCTTGAAGATTAATGGTGTGCCGGCCGAGGCTTTGCAACTAAGGCTTTTCCCATACTCACTCTTGGGAAAAGCACTTTGGTGGCTAAACAACCGCCCATCTCGGTCTATCACCTCATCGGACGACCTCCTCAACAAGTTTATGGCTCATTATTGCCCTACCTCGAAGACGGCAGAGTGGAGAAAGAAGATTACACATTTCGAGCAAGAAGTGGATGAAACCTTGAGGGATGCTTGGGAGAGGTACTCCGATTACTTTCTTCAATTCCCTCACCACGGGTTTGAGGAACAGTTTCTGATTGAAACCTTCTACGGAGGCCTAATGCAAGAAGATAAGATCCTCATTGACTCCTTGTGTCAGGGGAAGTTGATGAATATGGCTCCGCCCCAAATAACCAAGATCTTAGAAGACATGGCCCTTAGGGGGTATGATTGGGGGTTGACTAGAAGTGTAAGAAGAAGCAATGAAAGGGGAGTGAGAAGCGTGGGAGCGAGTATTCCGCTTGAGGAAAAGTTGGATAAGTTGCTTGAGGTTATGCTTGAAGATAAAAGGCAAGAAAAACTGGCGGTAATGTCGTGCGACTGGTCCTCGAGTACTAGCCACGAGATAGTGGAATGCCAAGCAATGAAGGAGGCAAGTCAACTTTGTGGCAAATGCTAGGGTCAACAACCCGTATAGCAATACTTATAACCCCGGATGGAGGAATCACCCCAACTTTTCTTTAGCATCACCCGCTAATCCAAGGCCCCCGAGTTTTCAAGGTCTACGGGTAACTTCCAACCTCGGCCAACCTTCATCCAACAAAGGCTCCAACTCTAAGGCTCAAACTTTCAACAACTGTACCAACCACAAGGTGCCCTAGGGTTCAACAACAACATCAACCCGACAAGTTATCCAAGCTTGAGGACCTAGTGAACACCTTTGTGAGTACAAGTAGCCAAAAATTCAAGAAGATTGAGCAATTTATGGATGTGGAGACTAATAATTTTACTTCGGTTGAGGCTGGTCTCCGAAGCCATCAAGCGAGGCTTCAAAGTTTGGAGGTACAAATCGGCAAACTTGCTGATATCCTCACCGAGAGACCCAAGGGAGCTTTACCTTCCCAAATTGTGGTGAACCCCAAGGATCAAGCCGTGGTGAATGCACTTCAAGTGAGGAGTGTGAAGGTGGTTCCGAAAGTTGCCACTAATGAAGTGGTGGAGAATGAGGATTATAACAAGGAAGAGACCATCCCGAAAAAGGGAGAGAAGAAGCCTTCGAGGAATGAGAGGAAGGCAGCAGGGCAGGAATTGCCAGAGGACGGATATGTGCCACCTCTTCCTTATCCCACAAGGATGTACAAGGAGAGTTTGGACAACGAGTGTGGAGGGTTCATGGAAATGCTACGCAACCTCCACCTCAACATCTCATTCCTCTAAGACATGGCACAAATGCCAAGATATGCCAAGTACCTCAAAGGATTCCTAATCAAGAAACCAAGGCTTGAAGGCCTCGCCAACATGACTCTTGGCGAGGAGTGCTCGACCTTCCTCCTCGACTGCTTGCCCAAAAAGCGGTCCGACCCAGGTAGCTTTACCATCCCTCTTGATATTGGTTATTGACACGCTAAAACACAACACCTAACAATGGCCACGTGTAATCAATGTAAGGGTCTGCAATATAGTGGCACAAGTAATAAATATCGAATCCACGGGTCTCTAGAGTTACTATTACTCAGCTTCAGTTCATTATCTAGCAAACTAGATTAAGGATTGATTTATAAACTACTCTACTGACTACTCTACTAATTACAAGTTGTGAACTCACTTAGGTCTGATTCCCCCTAGCTCCTCAATTAGGTCCAAGTTGCAATTACTTTTGGTTGGTCTACTGTTGATTAAACTACGGAAGATCCTAAATTAGCTTGGAATCTCTTAAGCTGACCAAGCCCTCTTACACAGAATACCGGGCAGGCGACTAGCCTTCACCGGGATAGACTGCTAAGGCGATTCACACAGATCTCCACTACTGGAATGAATTCCAGTACAAAGCAGTGAATTGGTTGACTCTCGCACAACCAATTCACCACTATCAATCAAGGAAGCTCTCTTAACCTAATCAGATTCTATCTATCATAGGTTAAAGCAGAAATCAAGAGAATTTGATCACAATTCAATTGAATCAATAAATCATGCCTCAATTGATTATAATCAAACAATATAGCATTCAAAACTTCATACAAGAAAGATCCTAACACATGAAACTAGGGTTCCTCAAAAACTAAGTGAAGGGAAGTTACTCCATAGAGAAGAGAGAGACTGCAGAAATCTGATCTAGATCTTCAATATCCATCTCCAAGCTTGATTCCCGAGCTCCAATGGCGAAGAAATCCTCCAAAATAGCTCCAAGAATGTTCCCAAGTCGCTCTCTCTCTCTAGGGTTCGTCCCTTGGGTGTTTGGGAACCAAAAACCCAGCTCTCCCCTTTCCTTTGGCTGAAAATCGAGTTTTAAACAGAAATTCCCGATAACGCGGCCAGGCCACATGGCCGTGTGGCTTTCCCAGCTGCCCATGTGAAGGCTCGGTGATTTTCACACGGCCACGACCCACACGGCCGTGTGGAGTTCCAGGATGCCCGTGTGGCTTGCTCAGCCTTTGTTTAATGCTTCGTTTCTCCCTCGTCCGGACTCTGAATAAGTCCTCGTTTGATCCCACACGCTCGTAGTCTTGTACTCTTTCTTTTCATGAAAATCTTGCATGATTCTTTGTCCATAAAGTGAGGTAGAAATCCATTCTTCTTCAGGTCATGCCCGAGTTTCTTCTCCCGAAACGTCAATTGATCTCTGATTGATTTGAAACTTGCGCCTATGATTCACTTTATTTGCTAGGACCTGAAATGTGACAAAGGAACAAAACCTAGCATAAAATAGGACAAAGACGCAATAATTTAAGCTCAAACAAAGCAAGAAACAAAGGGGAAAACATGTGCCAATACCGAGTCATCAGTTATCACCATATAGATAATTCCTTGGCACCTAGGAGCTAGTGTGAAGGTGATGCCGTACAAGCTTTTCAAAAAGTTAGAAGTAGGTGACCTTAAGACCTCTAAGCTTAGCATCACCGTAGCCGACCGTTCGGTCATTAGCTCGAGAGGTATAGGCGAGGACATGATTGTGAGAGTGGGCAAGTTATGCTATCTGACCGATTTCGTGATTCTCGGCATAAGTGAGGACTCGGATGTGCCCCTCATCCTCAGTCGTCCCTTTCTTGAAAACGCCAAGGCATTGATAGATGTTAATAAGGAAACCCTAATTTGGAGGGATGGTAAGAAGAGAATCAAGCTTGAAATTGAGCCTAGGGTGAGGAGTGATGAAGTGAAGGGGGTAGTTTCAAATGATGTGAATGAGAGTGGAGGAGAGCCTCCTAAGGCAAACCCCACCATTACTTGTGTTGTCTTTGATGATGTTGAGTAGTAAGTTAAAAAGGGTCCTAAGCCAAAAGGACCGAGACTGAATGCTTGGAGAAGAAGGATGAAGGGAGCTTTGACCTAGAAGACGGGGGAGCCCAAAGCAAGGTTGGCCAACCAAGAGAGCCAACTCAAGGAGCCTAAGATGGGAGGCTACAAGCCTCGCCCCGAGAGTGTGGTGGATCTGCTCTCGGTGGCATCACTTTTGAAGTCGTGATTGATCCCCAACCGTCAAGCTAATTACGATAAACAAGCTCTTGTTGGGAGGCAACCCAACGGAGGTTTGTTTTCTTTTCTTTAGTTTTCGTTTTAGTGTCTTGTGAATGGTTTGAGTGGTGAAGTGGTGTCCCCGTGCCGAGTGTTGTGTTTTTGCGGTTTATGGTTGTGTTGTGATCGATTAGGAGGCACGGAGGAATAGGTTGAGTCAAATTTTTTGCAGAAGTGCCCTGTTTCCACTTCAGTTCACGGTCGCTAAGACCGTGAACAGGCAAACGCGTCCGTGAACTGGGCGCTGATGCATGTTCACCACCTGTCAACCACTCCGTGTTCACGGACGCATTCGCGAGTTCACGGTCTCTAAGACCATGAACTGGCAATGCGTCCGTGAACTCAGAGCTCTGCCTATAAAAGGGGCGTGAACGGCGACCCTTTACTTCACGACTGGATTCTCCCCGGAAAACTTTGAATCTTCGCCGGAAAATGCGAAATCTCGTCACTTTTTCGACTTTTCCCCCAAATCCGACGAGAAAAACCAAAAACCAACATCATACCTAGTCCCCTCTTCTCAAAACCGACATGTGCTGTGAATTTGGGGAGATTTAGACCACATTTTTTCCGGCCAAGACACGGGCGGCGAGTCTCCGGCGAGCTTTCGACGGAGCTCCGGTGACCCCTCACTAGGGCTGTTAATGATCAAAGTCGAGCCGAGCTCTGCCATAGTTCAGGCTTGGCTTGTTATATTTTTCCAAGCTCCAGCTCGGCTCGTGTTCGTCATGAGCTTTAATATGCAAGCTTGAGCTCGGCTCGTTTATGAAAATGAAAGCTCGAGCTCGGTTCGAGCTCGACTCGTCCAATAAGCACAACGAGCCCAAAATCGAGTTAAGCTCATAAATGTTCATAATATCTCAAAATTGACCTAGAACTGGGCACAAAATTACATTCAAACCTGTATCAAAGTCTAGCAAAATAAAAACACAATAGTTATCCCAATTTCAATACACAGTATCGATGAATTCTAATCCTTTCTGATGCCAACACGTTAAATGAGCTTGTTCGCGAGCTTTCGAGCTGAACATGGTATGGCTTGAGTTCGGCTCGTTTAGTTAACGAGCATGTTCGCGAGCCGACTCGATTATGACGAATCGAGTTTCGAATGAGTTTTTTTCGAGTAGTACGCCAAGCCGTTCATGAGCGGCTTGGTTCATTAACAGCCCTACCCCTCACCGGTCAGTTTTTCGACCAGTTTTTCACCGTCCTCGCCCGCACCTCACTTCCTCCCTCATCCTACTTAAGTCTTCAGGTTTGTTTTTCAACTTTACCTTTGTGAATTGTGGAGAATCGGATTAGGTAGTGAAGTGAGGTTGAATTTTTGTGCTTGGCATGATTGAATCTAGTCAGGGCGAGGACTTAGGTGAATTAGGTCGTGTGATTGATGGATTGATTTTTGCATGAGCTTAGTGAGCCTTGGTGGGCGTGTTGAACCAAATTGTTTTTATTTTCAGAATTTGCCCACCAAGTGCTATGTTATGAATGCAAGTGGAGTTTGTTTTTGATTGGTGGATGGTAGCCGCCATGTAGGGGTTGTGGTTCTAATTTTTGTGTGCTTGAACCGTGAAATACCCACAACCACGCCACGGTGGTTTGAGGTTAAATGTTTTAGCCATGGTGGAAAAACAAGTGTGGGGGGAATCTCTTTTCCTCCCAATGAGCGGTATTTGACAGATGTTTCCATGTATGGTGTGTGTTTTTTCTTTGTACACGATGCTTAACTTGGAGCATGAGTTCATCGGTTACCTGGTGAACCACCCGGAGTTTGGCGACAAGTTTTCCTACCTGAGTGACAGCCGATCGGGCATCACTGTGGCTGGACCTGCATAAGATCCCGTTTTGGCTAAATTCGTATTACGGTCACTAGAAAAATTTCACGATTTAAAATTGACAGTTTTGACAGTATTTCGATGAAAATCGGATTATCGATCAATCGGATAAGTGTACGCATTAATTATATATAATATATAATTACATTAAGCAGCCGGATATATATAATTCACCCGTGTCCATTCTTTTCCATTATCACCTTCTTTTCTTCTTCCATTATGAGCCGAGAGAAACAGAGCGCTCCGCCACAAATTCCAAAGCTCAAATCTATAGCCCTAGTGATCCAAAAATCCCGTAAGTAATGCCTAATTCATCTATACATCATGATTTATCGATTTAGAGCTTTAAAACGAGTTTTTGGTACAGAAATTTCTTGAATTCCCGATAAGCCAAATTAGAGTTTTGGAGTATCCGGAAGCCAGATTGAGCCCAAATTTCATATACGAGCTTCCTGCAACGAGGTAATCAATCCTCTAGTTCTAATCCCTGAATTTTGGCAATTATTTAGGTCGGGGTCCAAATCGCTGAATTTAGCTCCGACCAGGGTTTGATGTGTTTTTATCAAGAATTTGATCCGGAGCCTAGAACTAACATTGACGGGGATACTGTAGGGGATATTAGGACAATCTCGGATTTTGATTCCGGGTTTGTTTGAGAAAGTGAAGTTCGGGTACGGGAGGCTACAACCGGTGTTTGAACGACCAGAACTGGTGAGGGATTAGCACGGCATACCTGGTTTGTCGTATTACGATAATTATATTGATTCTTAAATTGACCTAGGTGAATTAGAATGGCATGATTAGGGGTGTATGGACTTTTATGCTATATGATGAACCATGGATTGTTGTATGATATTATTGACTTGCCCTAGCCGATATGGACCTTGTTTATGTTGATGATTGCATACATGTTGCCATTTGTGGCTTAACCGTTGATATGACTTCATGGTTGTTTGATCAGGTGTTTTGACATGATGTGATATTGTGGTTTTATTTGGATTCCCAAGTGGGGGAAATAAAATTCCCAGGGTGATATTATGATGTTTAAGGAGGATGACTTGCACGAGGGTTTATCCCATAATGACTTAAACTGGGAATTGAGTTTGACATTATGTGATATTATGGCGTACTATACCCTATGGGAGGTTAAACACTCCTAAGGAGGGGAGTACCCCATAATGACTTAAACTGGGAATTGAATTTGACATGATTATGTGTATTGGTATATTGGATGAAATTATCTGCATCATGGTTTTCAAAATTGTGTTTTGAACTTATTTGTTTTCAAATAATTATTTCGGGAAAATGTTGTTTTAACCAAGTGAGAGAGTGGGTGAAGAATGAATTTTGTGTGGATCAATCTAAGCCAATATTTCCTTGTAGCTCACACGGAAGTTGTCATAATGTTCCTACTGACCAGTCGAGAGGAGTGGGGTCGGTTGATGCGAGACCGCCAATATTAGACTATGCAAAGATGAAGAGTTTGGGTGGTAGGGACTTCAAGGGAGATGTGATTCCAGATGCTATAGTAGAGTGGTTGAGAGAGATGGAAGATGTGTTTGAGTATCTTTATGCAACCCCAGAGGAAAAAGTACAATATGTTGTTTTTCTCCTAAAGGGGTACGCGGGGAGCTGATGGTCCTCACTCTCTAGAGTTAATGGTGAACGAGTTCAGTTCACCTGGGAGGAGTTCCTGAAGGCCTTTAAGACAGAGTTTCTTCCCGAAGCTTTTATCAGGGCAAAGAATAATGAATTCGCCAACCTTAAGCAGGAGAACATGAGAGTTACGGAGTACACTATCAAGTTTGCTCGACTACTCTACTTTGAAGATGGGTTGGCGGATACTGAGCATAATAAGAAGATGGGATACTTACATGGTCTGCGCCTAGGGCTTAAAGAAAAGATCCACAGGGTGGATGAAGATAGCTTGGCCACTATAAAGGAAGCAACACTCAAGTATTAAGCCCATGAAGTTGAGGGTCGAGAGGAACACAAGGTGAAGGAGGAAGAAAAGAAAAGGAAGTTAGGAGTAAATTATTCTGCACCTCGTTATCCATCAAGGAAGGGTCCTAGTGCTTATGGGAGAACACCAAGTCAGTCTATGCCAGGAACATCATACAGGGCACCATTTTCCTTGGCCGCACAATTTCCATTTTGTCAAGTTTGTCAGAAGAGGCATCTTGGAGAGTGTAGGAGATTTTTTGGTGTATGCTTTCACAGTGGCCAACCTAGGCACATCATGAGGGATTGTCCGCATTCGAGAGAAGTAAGAGCTACACAGTCCAAGCCTTCAGTGCAATTTAGTAGAGCCCCATTCAGGGGTGGTTACTAGGGAGGCCGTATTGGATTTCAGAGTGGTCGTGGTTGTTCACATGGTGGTAGAGTTAGTGGTCGAAATCAGCCATCAGGAAGTGGTACACAGGATACCAGAGCACAGGGAGCACTGAGGGTTTATGCAATGACTCGAGATGAGGCAGAAGTGGCACCAGAAGTTGTGACTGGTATGCTTTCTATCCTTGGCAAGCAATTATATGCTTTGATCGATATTGGTTCCTCGCACTCATTCATGTCATATACGTTTGCACATAGGCTACGCTTAGTCCCAGATAAGCTAGGTTATACCTTAAATGTTAAAACACCTGTGGGAGATACCTTGAAGGTAAATTCAGTTATTAGAAGTTCCTTCATTTGTGTGGAAGGAGCTTTCCTAGCAGCATATTCAATTCTGCTACCTTTTGATGAATTCGATGTCATCCTTGGGATGGACTTTCTAGCAACACATGGAGCTGTTGTGGATTGTCAAAAGAATGAAGTGTTATTCAACACACCAGATAAAGGTCCTATTGTATTCCGAGGCATTAAGAAAAAGAATCATGATTTTCTCTCTGCATTGGAAGCTTTCAATTAGTGAAGGAAGGTTGTGAAGCCTTTCTTGCTCAAGTTACTATTGTAAATGAGAAGAAGGTTGAGGATGTAGAGGTGGTAAGGGAGTTTCCTGATGTATTCCCCGAAGAACTTCCCTGCCTTCCACCAGAAAGGGAAGTAGAGTTTGATATTGAATTGGTACCTGGCACAACACCAATTTCAATGGCACCATATAGAATGGTACCAATTGAGCTGAAGGAGCTTAAAGAACAATTGCAAGAATTGCTAGACAAGGGGTTGATTCGACCTAGCATCTCTCCATGGGGTGCACCGGTTTTGTTTGTCAAGAAGAAAAATGGCTACATGAGAATGTGCATTGACTACCGGAGGTTGAATAAAGCAACAATGAAGAATCGTTATCCCCTCCCAAGAATAGATGACTTGTTTGATCAATTGCAGGGTGCATCAGTCTTTTCTAAGATTGATTTGAGGTCGGGATACCATCAACTGAAAGTGGCAGATGGAGCAACCTCAAAGACAGCTTTTAGAACAAGATATGGGCATTATGAGTTCCTGGTAATGCCTTTTTGACTCACTAATACGCCAGCGGTATTTATGGCTCTTATGAATAGAGTTTTCCATGAATATCTTGATAAGTTTTTGATTGTGTTCATAGACGATATTCTCATCTATTCTAAAAGCGAAGAGGAGCACAAAAATCACCTTAGAATTGTATTGCAAAATTTAAGGGAGAAACAATTTTATGCAAAATTATCAAAATGTGAGTTTTGGCTGAAGGAGGTAATATTTTTGGGACATGTAATTTCTGGAAGAGGGGTGGAGGTGGATCCGAAAAAGGTGGAAGCACTGGTGAGTTGGACTCCACCAAAAGATGTGTCTGAGTTGAGAAGTTTTCTTGGCATGGCTGGTTATTATTGGCGGTTTGTAGAAGGATTTTCCAAAATTGCTGCACCATTGACTAAACTGTTGAGGAAGAATACCAAGTATGTTTGGGATGAATCATGTCAAAAGAGTTTTGATGAACTAAAAAAGAGATTGACCACAGCACCAGTACTTGCATTACCTTCGAATCAGGGAGAGTTTGTGGTGTATAGTGATGCCTCGTATCAAGGATTGGGTTGTGTGTTAATGCAAGATGGAAGAGTTATCGCATACGCCTCTAGGCAATTGCGTCCTCATGAAGTAAATTATCCCACTCATGATTTGGAGTTGGCAGCGGTGGTATTTGCTCTCAAGATTTGGCGACATTATTTGTATGGTGATGGATTGAACTTATAAAAGTTTATGATTGTACAATTGATTATCATCCAGGTAAAGCTAATGTAGTTGCTGATGCCCTAAGCAGAAAGGGGAAAAAGAAAAATATAAATGATCTGATTGATTTAAGCGCAATGAATGTTGATTTGGAAGTGGATGGTGTAACAGGGTTACTAGCTCGGTTGAATATCCGACCTTTGTTGCATGACAAAATTCGTGAGAAGCAGAAGGAGGACCCAGAGTTGGCAAAAATCATTCAAGACATTGAGGAAGGAAAAGAAATCCCATTTGAAATGGTAGATGGCATGTTGAAGATGAATGGAAGAGCATGTGTTCCTAATGTTGATAACTTGAGGAAAGAGATCCTAGATGAAGCTCATTCTTCTGCTTATGCTATGCACCCAGGAGCAACTAAAATGTATCACACGATCAAACCATATTTTTGGTGGCGTGGGATGAAAAAGGAAGCGGCTGAACATGTTTACACATGTGGGGTATGTCAGAAAGTTAAGGCAGAACATCAAGCTCCTGTGGGAAAACTACAACCACTTCCAATTCCAGAAAGGAAGTGGGAAAGAATCACAATGGATTTTGTATATGGTCTCCCATCATCAAGGGGAAAAGATGCAGTTTGGGTTATTGTGGACCGACTAACCAAAGCGGCTCACTTTTTACCCATTAAATGGAAACCATCATTGGAGACTTTGTCTCAACTATATATTAAGGAGATCATCAGATTGCATGGTGTGCCAATTTCTATTGTCTCTGATCGAGACCCGAGCTTCACATCTCGGTTTTGGCAAAGTTTACATGATGCCTTTGGAACTAAACTGCATTTTACTTCAGCTTATCATCCTCAAACAGATGGGCAGAGTGAACGAACCATCCTTACCTTGGAAGAGTTACTTCGATCATGTGTAATGCAATGGGAGGAATCTTGGATTGATCATTTGCCCCTAATTGAGTTTGTTTACAACAACCAGTACCATAATAGCTTGGGTGTTCCACCATATGAAGCACTTTATGGGAGGAAATGCAGGACACCATTATGTTGGGATGTAGAAGGAGCAAGGCAAATCTCAGGGCCAGAGATAGTTCAGATCACAGTTGATAAGGTCAAGGAAATCAGGGAGTATTTGAGGGTGGCTCAAGATCAACAGAAAGTTTATGTTGACACGAGTAGGCGTGAAGTTAATTTCGAAGTGGGTGAGAAAGTATTTCTCAAAGTTTCACCATGGAAAGGGGTGATGAGATTTGGTAAGAAAGGAAAGCTTGCACCTCGATATATTGGACCATATGAAATCACAGAGAAGATTGGACCAGTGGCTTATAAGTTGGCATTGCATCCAGAACTATCTCAAATCCACAATGTATTTCATGTTAGTATGCTGAGGAGGTACAAAGTGGATCCTTCCCATGTTATACAACCAGAAGATATCGAGTTGGGTCCAGATTTGACATTTAAAGAGGTTCCATACGAGATTGTTGATTTTCAGATTAAGACTCTTCGTAGGAAGGAAATTCCAATGTTGAAGGTGGTGTGGAGGAATCAAGAAAGTGAGAGTGCTACCTGGGAGACTGAAGCAAGTATGCGAGAGAAGTACCCTAAGTTAGTAGCAACCAACTTTGAAGGTTAACAATCTCGCTTAATAAGTTATGTTTTAAACTTGCTAATGTGCTTTTGTTGTGATAGCCTAATATAGGTTTTTGAAACCTAAACATGGGAACTTGAGCTGTTATGTGTTTACCTTCTATGCTATGAATCAGCTAACCAAAGAGTTAGGTGATGGTTTATCTACAATAGACCATGTCAAGGGTAAGTAAGCGGACTAAGGGTACAACTCAAGGTTAGATTTCGGGGATGAAATCTTATAAGGAGGGGAGAATTGTAACATCCCATTTTGGCTAAACTCGTATTATGGTCGCTAGAAAAATTTCACGATTTAAAATCGACTATTTTGACAATATTTCGATGAAAATCGAATTACCGATCTATCGGATAAGTATACTTATTAATTATATATAATATATATATATATAGAGTTACATTAAGCACCGGTATATATAATTCACCCGTGTCCATTCTTTTCCATTATCATCTTCTTTTCTTCTTCCATTCTAAGCCGAGAGAAACAGAGCGCTCGGCCAAAAATTCCAAAGCTCAAATCTTGAGTCCTAGTGATCCAAAAATCCCGTAAGTAATGCCTAATTCATCTATACATCGTGATTTATCGATTTAGAGCTTTGAAATGAGTTTTTGGTGCATGAATTTCTTGAATTTTCGATAAGCCAAATTAGGATTTTGGAGTATCCGGAAGCCGGATTGAGCCCAAATTTCATATACGAGCTTCCTGTAGTGAGGTAATCAATCCTTTAGTTCTAATCCCTGAATTTCGGCAATTATTTAGGTCGGGGTCCAAATCGATGAATTTAGCTCCGGCCAGGGTTAGATGTATTTTTATCGAGAATTTGATCCGGAGCCTAGAACTAACATTGACGGGGACACTGCAGGGGATATTAGGACAATCTCGGATTTGGATTCCGGGTTTGTTTGAGAAAGTGAAGTTGGGGTACGGGAGGCTAGAACCGGTGTTTGAACGACCAGAACTGGTGAGGGATTAGCACGACATACCGGGTTTGTCGTATCACGATAATTATATTGATTCTTAAATTGACCTAGGTGAATTAGAATGGCATGATTAGGGGTGTATGGACTTTTATGCTATATGATGAACCATGGATTGTATGATATTATTGACTTTCCATAGCCGATATGGACCTTGTTTATGTTGATGATTGCATACATGTTGCCATTTGTGGCTTAACCGTTGATATGACTTCATGGTTGTTTGATCAGGTGTTTTGACATGTTGTGATATTGTGGTTGTATTTGGATTCCCAAGTGGGGGAAATAAACTTCCCAGGGTGATATTATGATGTTTAAGGAGGATGACTTGCAAGAGGGTTTATCCCGAGGAAGTGCAATTATATGTCTCCTGATTTACCTATGTTGAGAGCCAATTATGGCCAGGTCAAGTACATGTGCAAGTAATGAATTATCATTAAGCAAGATGAGATATGAATCATGTATAAGGATACCAAATATGAGTGTTGTGGTCTCACGGTGAACTACATAGTAATTACGGCTCCCTATGCTATAAGTACTCTAGTATGATATGTAGTATAGGCACACCTCTCATGTGGTGGTGACTGAAGAATTCTTACGAGATATGACCACACCCAGAGCGGTGTCGGGGTATGACTACACCCATAGTGGTGTGGGGTATGTATGACCACATCCGATGGGATGTTGGGGTATGTATGACTACATCCGACGGGATGTGGGGTATGTTTCTCGAGAGAGTTATTAGCATGGGAGTAGCTAGGCGCCTATAAGTAAAACATGATAAGATGCATATGCATAAGTCAAGGTGGTTGAGTCTTTTGCCTATTGGGATGTCGGATTCCTGAGGTCTGATCCTAGTGCTTTGGCTTGTTTGCTAGATGTATGGTAGGGGTATGCTCTGTTATGAACTCACGATGCAATGATTATCTCACTCAGCTATGAGCTGAACCTCTTTATCATTTTTCTCTGCTTATGCCATGTGTAAGCAGATCATCATCATCATCAGCAGTAGATAGGTGTATAGGTGGGAGCTGAGCAAGAGTTGAAGGCAAGATGAGGTATGGTCTTCAACTATTCCGTGCTTGGACTACTACTCGGGATTTTGGCCAGTGATCCACACCTTTTTGTAAAAATGTTTCGAGAACGTTTTTCATGTGCATACTAGCTTCTGATGTAGTGTGAGATATCCACAGGTGTGGAAGGTTGATGATATGTGTATATTTGTGTAATTATGTAAGTTATGACGATTATGGCATGTATTAGTATAGTATGCAGTTGTGTAGCATGAAACTATGACTATGGCTATGAAAAGCCAATGCATATGGTTGTGAGTGTATATGTTTGTCTATGAATGCATGGATTCAGATGAATTATTTTGCAGGATGAGATGGAATAACTGTTAGTCCATTACGCGAGTAATTCATGTCAAAATTTTATTGGGTAAATTTTAGTAATTAATGTAACACCAGTTTCCAAATTCCGTTGCAATTGTATGAACAATACGATCAGGCAAAATGAACAATGGAGTACTCTCCCATCCCTAGTAGCGCCAGCTCCTGATCATGGACGAGGAGATTTTCCACGAGCTGTGTGTGGAGTTCTACTCCACCTTTTCCCACATCATCCCGGCCAGCAAGAAGAGCCGGCCCCGGGTGGAGTTTATGTTGGGCGGTCAGCCGTGAGTGTTGACCTATGATGGCTTCGCTCAAGCCATGGGGCTCGACACCGCTCACATGACGATGACAGAGCGGCAGTACACGGTCGACTTAGACTATCAGGGCGCATTCAGAGCCCTCTTCCGCCCAGAGCACGAGCAGAGCGAGTTCGAGGGGAGCAAGACTAAAGCTATCAAGCTGAAGATCCAGTGAATGATTCTCCATACTCTGCTCACCCAATTCGTCGTCCCCAGCCTCCAGTCAGGCCACTTGATGACGAATAGAGGGCTCATTGCCCTGTGTTTGGGGCGGAACAGGGTGGACACGATGCATATGGGGGGGCATCATCACGAGGATAGCCGACACTTCCAGGTGGATCTGGCCCATTGCACTAGTGTGGGAAGGATGGAGCCCTTCCCAGTGGAGACATTGTACAACCAGAAGCTGGTACTCCAGGGCTAGAGAGGAGTGGAGTACCTCGATGGACTCCGACCCTCCGGAGTCATCCGATCTGCAGTAGCACCATCTGCAGTGGAGCCCGACCTCGAGTTCCCACCAGCAATAGAGCAGCCACCTGCTCGTGCACCCGGTTGCCGCCGGCGTCCAGCACTCCCGCGCCCTGCACAGCAGCCACCACCACCAGGAGCAGGCGATCCCCTCATCTAGAGGGTGAATCGCCTTGAGACGAGCTTCTTGGGATTCTCCTCCCGCCTCAAGCGACAGTCCGACATCCTCGAGCGCAGGGCTCGACACTAGGGTATCCTACCCGAGTCTAGCGAGGGTCCATCCACCAGAGAGAGGTAGCCGATGGGAGAGACATGTGGCAGAGCAGACTCCTTTCGACCCACTTCTTGTAACACCCCGAATTTTGAGTTCAGGTTCGACCCAAATACGTAAACGGTTGGATTAACGGTTACGTACAAAGGATTGCAACCGTGGATTAGGAATAATAATAATAATAACTATTATTATTATTATTAAAAAAAGCACGGGCCAAGAGGGCGCTCGGCCCTCATTGTTTTTCCCATCACCACTCCCCCACGCCAAACATCCATCCGGATTCACTAAATAGAGAATCCTAAGAGGGAAAATCCGCCACTCAAAGACCCAGCTCTCCTTCCATATAGCGGCGGCGAGATTTGCCTTGCTTCTGATCAGAAAATTCAGTGTCCCCATTGATTGCTTCAGATTTCTGGTACTGTGGTTCAATTTTGCGGCTGTGTATAAAGGTAAATAGCTTTCCCGAGCTAGTCACCATTCGGAAACGTCGATATAAATCAAGAGGTAAGGATCTCCCTCTTTAAACTCGGTAATTGTGTTAATGACTATGGTTAATAAAGCTTGAGTGGGCACGTATGTATGTAAAACAGTTGGAAGGGATTAAGTGACGTGTGGACACGTATTGTTCTTGCATGGAAGAGGTGTGTCCAAGAGTTAGATTGGGTAAGTCGCGGACTAGGTCGCTTTCTTTAAGACGTTCGCGGCACTGCCTTCGATGCGCACGGCAGACTATCAACCGGTCGTCTCCAGGATAAAACAGCTCCTCTCAATACTCGCGGTTTTGTGCGAAAACCGAAGCTCTCTAAACACTCTCTCTCTATTGTGTTTCTGCTCGTTGTGTTTTTTTTTTTTTGGAGGGGCTGGGGAGGCGGCTATTTATAGGAGCCGAACCCCTAGGAATATACCCTCTTGCTTGGGGAATAAGTCGGATTAATTAAGGAAGATAATTACTTCCTTAATTAAAACCGTCGGTTAAGATAAACCCGGAGGGATTATCCTTCGAATATTCCGTTTTAGTCGATTATCCTTAGGAATATACCTCAGAATAACAGATTAATAATTAATTATTAAATAATTAATTTCGTTCGGAATTTCTCCAAAAATATATATATAGTCTCAAGTGAACCAACCAACCAACCAACCGACCGACCGGACGGACGGACGGCGCGCGCGTGTGTGTGGTGGTCCATTAGGTCCTCCCTCTCCCACAAAAGTGGGTCACCCCAAGGGGCATGCCCTTGGGAGAGAGGCTCCTATCTTTATACACATTTCACCAAGTAAAACTACCAATGTGGTAGTTTTTCCACTAGAGACTCTATAGCTTTCAAAGCTATTCATATACATTCATTTCCAGCAATCCCCCACTTGAATAGTTTTGAAACTATCTCTGAGCATCAACAGTTCCATAAGATCGGGCATAAGCTAAGGTATCGCGAAGATTTGAACCTTAGCGTAGTGGTTACACTTCCGATTTCATAAGGGTGACTCGTAGTCTTGAACCCTATCTCAGACAGTGTAGCACACCGGATCTTTTCATTGAGTTGTGTTCTCTTCATAGCCCGTGCGTTTATGGCCATGCACGTTACCCTGGTTTAGTGAACGCTCTAGCAACTTTGTGCCTCCAAAGTTCCATAGGGAGCGGCCCCACTCCCACATTCACATAGGTGAGTCTATCAAGAGTACCCCCAAAGTAAAGTACTCCACCCCACATAGGGTATAGATCTCATTAAGAGTTATTAACTCAACCTCCATTGCTTTGGGATTCATGCTTCACTATGCATGAACTTTTCGCATACTACTCATGACTTGTTATTACCCATTGAACCCATTTCTTGGGATCTCCAGTCTATTGGGTCGGGTTACCATCACTTGTAGTCCGTGGTTCGGTAGGCATAAGTCCCATACCCTTGGCGGTATTCTGGACTTTCTCTCTAGGTAATCCTTTCGTCAAAGGATCAGCTAGATTCTGTTCGGATCTTATATGATCCACCCTCACTGCTCCTATCGTTAGGAGTTCTCTTACAGTACTGTGCTTACGACGAATCTGTCGTTTCTTTCAGTTATAGAACCGGTTCTCAACTTTAGCGATAGCTGCGGTACTATCACAATGGATCAATACCGGAGGGAGCGGTCTTTCCCATAGGGGAATCTCTGACAACAATCCTCTCAACCAACTTGCTTCTTCACTAGCCGTTGCTAGTGCTATCATCTCTGATTCCATAGTTGATTGAGCTAGGATTGTTTGTTTCTTTGACTTCCAAGACACAGCTCCACCAGCGATGTTAAAAACATACCCGCTGGTTGCCTTGGAGTCATCTGATAGGGTATTCCAATCCGCATCACTATACCCTTCTAGTACAGCAGGAAACCTTTGATAATGTATACCAAGGTTTGCTGTTCTCTTGAGGTATCTCATGACCCTCTCTATAGCATTCCAATGCTCTCTACTAGGAAAGCTGTTAAACCTGCCAAGCAATCCCACGACATATGCAATGTCTGGTCGAGTGTAATCCGCAGCATAACGGAGACTGCCAATGATGCTAGCATATTCTGATTGTCTTACACTGTCTCCAGTGTTCTTAAATAGCTTTACACTAGCATCATACGGAGTACACGCAGGTTTACAGTCGAAATAGTTATACTTCTTCAAGATCTTCTCTATGTAGCTAGATTGATCTAGAGAATAACCATTTGCTGTTCTAGTTATCTGGATTCCAAGCATAAACTTTGCTTCTCCCAGATCTTTCACTTCAAAGCTCTCTTTTAACATGGCTTTTGCTTCATTGACCACGTGAATATTTGTACCAAATATCAACATGTCATCTACATACAAACATATGATAGTACAAGTGTTATTTTCTGACTTGCAGTAAATACACTTGTCACTTTCATTCACCTTAAAGCCATGTGAGAGAACGAGAGTGTCAAACTTCTCATGCCACTGTTTTGGAGCCTGTTTCAAACCATATAATGATTTGTCTAACTTACAGACTTTCGAGGCATGTTCGGGGATAACAAACCCTTCTGGTTGTTCCATATAGATTTCTTCATCTAGATCACCGTTCAAAAAAGCGGTCTTAACATCCATTTGGTGTACCACGAGATTGTTCAAGGCAGCAAGAGCAATCATTACACGAATGGATGTTATTCTAGATACTGGTGAATAGGTATCGAAGAAATCTATATTCTCTCTCTGCCTGTAGCCCTTAACTACTAGGCGAGCTCGGAACCTTTCGATTGCACCATCAGGTTTCCGTTTCGTTTTTAGAACCCATTTATTACCTAAGACTTTGCAGCCAGGAGGTAAGTATGTTAGATGCCAAGTCTTATTAGCTTCTAATGATTCCATTTCAT